TGTGGGAGCACACTGACCACCAGAGGGCAGCTCCTGTGTTGAACGTCTGCCCCCTGGTGGTCAGTGCGCGTCATAGCGACCGGTTGTTCCTTCCTCCGGTCAATTTGCATATTAGCCTTTTATTATATAGGATTCCTGAAACTATAGGAAAAAGACCAAATGTAGTAGAAAAATGGGCAAAATGCATTTCATATACCGATCCAAAAGAACTAATAAATAAATAGAATTAAATCAAAAGAAACCTAGAAAGTAGTCCATATCCTTTGAAAAATTGAAACGCATTCTATGCAGGCATGGCAAAGGGAAAATCACAGTGGAAATGACACAATATTTGGAACAAAAAGAAAATAAAAGTACTACATACCAGAACTTGTGGATCTACAGTAAATTCTCTGTGATTCAGGTTTACTTTGCCGTTCTTTTCATGAATCCTGAATTAGAAAAGGCTTAACTCGTTTAAAAATACTTCCCTTTTACATATTTTTGTTTAAAATTCGGGAATTTAAGCATTAGAAAATCTATTAATTTAATATATCTGATTCTCTTAACAATTAGGGAGTAGAAGGTAGTTCTGCTACCTAAAATGAAGTTTGTACTGAAAGTTTAAAGCAAAGATCATGCTTAATGGTGAAACATTAGAAGCATTCCCATTAAAAGTAGAAGCAAAATGAGAATGAATCTTTGAAGAAAATCTTACAGTAGCAACAAAACTTTAAAGTACGTAGGATTATGGCAAATACAAGATGTGTAATCTCTCTATGGAAAAAAATGTCATTATTGAAGGACATAAAAGAAAACTCAGTGTACTAGTATACATGGATAAGAAGAGCCATATTGTAAAGATATCAGTTCTTTTCACATCCATATATATAAAAGCCAAGCAACCAGAACAACTGGAGCGACCAGTTGCTGTGACACGCACTGCGGCGGCCAACCGGCCCAGTCAGGGCCCCTGATTGCCCGCCCCCCCCAGACCCCCAACCTCCCATGCTCCCCTCCCCCACCAGCCCGGCCCTGATTGGCCTTCACTGGGGTGGGCTAGCCAGACCCCACTAGTGCACAAATTCGTGTACTGGGCCTCTAGCTATTCTATAAAATTATTGTGATTCTCATCACAATCTCAGTATGTTTTATGAACATATTAAGCTAATCCTAGCGTTCATCTGGAAGAGCCATGGCAATTTAAAAACATGTTTTTTTGGTATAGGGAGGTCATTTAGAACTCTCATAATTAAGACAGTGTCACCTTGGTCCAGGTATAGGCATAAACCAGGTGACCATACATGTCCATTTGCGTAGGACAATTTCAGTTTATTCCTGTTGTCCTGGTAATTATTAAGAGGCTTTTACTCTAAAAACTGTTCAGTGGTCTTGGCTGGTTTGGGTCATTGGATAGAGCATCAGCCTGTGGACTGAAGGGTCCCAGGTTCGATTCCAGTCAAGGGCACTTGCTCGGGTTGCAGGCTCAATCCCCAGTAGGGGGCATGCAGGAAGCAGCCTATCAATGATTCCCTCTCATCATTGATGTTTTTTTTCTCTCTCTCCCTATCTGAAATCAATTAAAAAATTTTAAAATAAAAAAATAAAAACTATTCAGTGAAATTGCATAGGAAGTCCTGAAACAAATCCATTGCGTTTATGACGTAGGTGGTAATATAAGTCAATGGTGAAAGGATGTCATTCATTAAATAGTGTTGGAACAGAAAGAAATATAGTTGGCCTTTATCTAACACAGTGGTTCTCAACCTTCTGGCCCTTTAAATACAGTTCCTCATGTTGTGACCCAACCATAAATTGAAACTTTATCGCCTTGGTCCAGCTGGAAGCCTGGGTTGCCAAAGGCAACCCAGGCTCCCAGCCCCTCCTTGAGCGGAGGCCACAGCAACCGGAAGCAGGTATCTGGGATTTATTTATCTTTTATAATTAAAACTTTGTAGCCTTCAGCGGAGCTCAGAGCCTGCAGGGCAGGCGGGAAGCTTGGCTTCCTCCATTGCCGAGGGCAACCCAAGCCTCCTCCTCGCTTGAGCTCCATGGCCGCCGCCATCTTAGTTCGGTTAATTTGCATGTCTGCTCCTGATTGGCTGGTGGCCGTGGCTTGTGGGTGTAGCAGAGGTATGGTCAATTTGCATGTTTCTCTTTTATAAGATTAGACTAGAGGCCCAGTGCACAAAATGTGTGCACTTGGGGGTGGGGGGGTCCCTCAGCCCAGCCTGTGCCCTCTCGCAGTATGGGACCCCTCAGGGGATTACCACCTGCTGGCTTAGGCCTGCTCCCTGGGGGATTGGGCCTAAGCTGGCAGTCAGACATACTCTGGCAGCCCGAGAGCCCTCAGGGGATGTCCACTTGCCAGCGGGGACCAGGCCTAAGCTGCAGTCGGACATCCTTAGCGCTGATGAGGAGGTGGGAGAGGCTTCCCACCTGGCAGCCTGGCTTGTGGCTGAGCAGAGCTCTCCTGCATTGAGCGTCTGCCCCCTGGTGGTCAGTGTGTGTCATAGTGACCAGTCATTCCCAGTCGTTCTGCTGTTAGGGTCAGTTTGCATATTACCCTTTTATTATATAGGATCTTATTAGTCAATTAGAGGCCCAATGCACAAAAATCCGTGCAAGAGTAGGCCTTTCTTCCCCCTGCTTCTGGCACCAGCTTCCCTCTGGCACCCGGGACCCTAGCTTCCTTTCTCCGGCCTCTGGCAGGCACCTGAGACCTGGGCTGCTTCCCTCTTCCGGCTGCCTGAAGGCTCCCGAGACCTGGCTGACTTCCCTCGGGCTGCCCGCAGGCACCCAGGACCCAGGCTGGCTTCCCTCTAGCCCTGGCTTCGTCAGGAAGGATGTCCAGAAGATGTCCGGTCTAATTAGCATATTACCCTTTTATTATTATAGATTATATCACAATAAAGCTGAAAAAAGTGAGTAAAGGGTAAATTAGAAGACTACATTACTACTAAGTAGTTTTTTGGGTTTTTCTAATAACGAAGAAAGACAATATAAACAATGTGAAAAAACAAGCCCTCATGTTGGGAGAAGAGATTTGTAACACATGCAACTAAATTTGAATAAACAGAATTCTAGAAGATTAACCAAAACATACAATACACACAGAGTATAAAAAAGTGGGAAGGATATCAACTCATTTTACAGAACAGGAATCTAAGATGACCATTGATAATATAAAAAAGATTCTCAGCCTTACCAGTTATCCTGTCAGTAAAGTTGGAGATGCACATGTCTTTCATCTCTGCAGTTTCACTTCTGCATGCACAACTGAGAGAAATGTTCACACATGAGCACTAGGAGACATTCATACAAATATTCATCTCAGCATTTTGTGTAATCGCAACATAAAAGTGTAAAACAATCTAAAATTGTTGGAAACAATCTAAATTTTATAAGCAGGGGAAATTGAGAAATAAATTTTGTATATGAAAGTATTCCATATAAAAATGAAAATTAATGAACTAGAGCAAAATTTATCAGCATGGAAAAATTTTAAACATATTAGAATAAAACCAAGTTGCAAAACACTACACACAGGCTTGTATTAGTTACAAAGTTTAAAGACATTCAGAAAAATACAGAGTCCTGTGGTGGCATTGGTATATATTAATCCTACAATAAAATGTATGCATGGACAGTGGTCTGGATTTGACCTGTGGGTCATAATTTGCCAACCTGTGATGTATGACACACTCAAAGGAATTACTTCAGCAGTTAAGGCATTAATAAGATTATCCCCTCTTACAGGTGGGAAAATTGAGGTTTAGAGGCCTCGACTGGCATCATTTGGGTTAAATTATAATAACCTTACGATGCTCCCATTAACCACATGGCAATATAATTTTTTCGTGTATGTAATGCTTATAGAAGATCCTTTTCCTTCCTCTAAAAGTATAGTGAATTGTGGAGGTCTAATCTTACAGTTTTCCACAATTATAATCTTTAATAGTATGTTTAGAAACTCTGCATTGCTGAGTCGTCTTTACAAAAATTATTTCATGTATGATTTTCCTAGGTTTGCAACATGTTTTATTGTTCAAATGGAGAAACATACAATAACTGGTTTGATTTAGTTTGTTATTAGATATGGATATCTTATAAGCCAGTTACTAATAATAGGTACCTTTATATAATATGCATTATTATTAAGCAGTTGTTTGTTGTTTTCTAAAGTCCCTTTTATGAAGCAATTTCTTTGTTTTGTCATGACGTGCAGTAATTGAGAATTTACTTATCTACATTTACATTCAAGGTCTAGGAAGTACATTTTTCCCTGTTTAATTTCATGGGCTAGAAGTTAGTAGGTATCAAGTAATTATGGCTCTTCTCTTTATGCCAGGGGTGGGGAACACCATTTGGTCTGGGCCTGCCAAGGCATTAGGGGTGAGTGAATTAAATGTTTGACCAAATTAGCAGGCTAATTTTTTTAAATTCTTTTTTTAAAAAATTCTTTATTGTTGAAAGTATTACATAAGTCTCCTTTTCCCCCCATTGACCTATCCCCAGCCGTTCCCACCCCCCAGCACATGCACTCACTCCCCCTACTGTCTGTGTCCATGGGTTATGCTTATATGCATGCATACAAATCCTTTGGTTGCTCTCTTACTCTCCCCACCCCAATTTCTTAAAATCGGGTTGCTGATAATTTTGTATGGCCCCTGAATGATGTTATAAAAACCTAAGTGGCCTTGGCAGGAAAGAGGTTCCCCACCCCTGTTTATGCAGAAAGTAGGACTACTGCAGGCGTGTTGGAATATGTGCAAGTTTAAAGGTGGGGAATAAAGATTATCACAGTACTTTTTATCTCCAGGAGGAGACTGAAATGACCTGTGTTTAAGAAAGTTTTAAAATGAACCAGAGCCAGGATTTGAACCCATAAAGTACTCAAATAGATGTTCTTAGAGTATTAATTTTAAAAGAAGTTAGGATTTTTAGACAGAACGGTGATCTTACCAAGTATGTAATTATGTTTATTCTTCCAAAGTAAAAATGGGATGTATTTTTTTCAGAGACATCAAACCTGATAATATATTGATGGATATGAATGGACATATTCGGTTAGCAGATTTTGGCTCTTGTCTGAAACTGATGGAAGATGGAACGGTAAGGAAAGATAATTTTTAAATTATTTTACCCACAGACATTTTTCTTGCTACTTGTCTTCTTTATCTGTTTAGAAACCACCTATAACAATAAAAGCATAATATGCAAATAGACCAAACCGCCGAATAGCAGAACAACTGTCTGGATGACCATGCTATGACATGCACCGGTGGCAGGCCAGCCAAGGCGGGTGCAATGCGATTGGTCGGGTGACCCCACGATCTCCCGCAGAGGGAGGCCTAGGCCACCCTCTGCAGGGTGATCAATCAGGGGGCTCCGCGATTGATTGCCCCAAACAGGGAGGTGCAGGCCTTCGGCCGGCGGGGCAATCAATCGGAGGGGTGAGGGGAGACTCTGTGATCGCCCCAAAGAGGGAGGCCCAGGCCACCCTCTGCAGGGTGATCAGTCAGGGGGCTCCGCGATTGATTGCGCCAAACAGGGAGGTGCAGGCCTTCGGCCGGCGGGGCGATCAATCGGAGGGGTGAGGGGAGACTCTGTGATCGCCCCAAAGAGGGAGGCCCAGGCCACCCTCTGCAGGGTGATCAGTCAGGGGGCTCTGCGATTGATTGCCCCAAACAGGGAGGTGCAGGCCTTCGGCCGGCAGGGCAATTAATCGGAGAGGTGAGGGGAGACTCTGTGATCGCCCCAAAGAGGGAGGCCCAGGCCACCGACTGACGGGCTGCAGCGGGCGGGTCGGGCCTCCCTCTGCGGGGTGATGGATCACGGGACTCCCAGACTGCGAGAGGGTGCAGGCCGGACGGAGGGGGCGGGGCCCTCTCCCCAGAGTGCACGAATTTCGTGCACCAGGCCTCTAGTTTATTTATATTATCCATTTATCTGTCCACCCACCCACCCATCCTTCTATGCTTCACCTTCTTCCCCAGAGGTATTTAGGCATACTTATTCATAGTGGGGCTTGTCTATAAAATCACATGCCATTTAAACTGTTCATATTAATGATCTGAAGATGGTCACTTATGCCTCTTATGAGACCCTGTTTTTTCCTTCTTTAGCTGACCTGGTTATTATTGTACTTGAGATATTTTTACATTTCCAGATGGGCAAAGAAAATAAACCCTACATGGAGAAGGAAAGTGCAGCTTCTTTGCTTTCATTATATTTTTTTTGTCTTTCTTTTCTAGTTGATTTTCCGGAGGGACAGTGTTCAGAAATGAATGCTTTTACCAGGAAGTCCTCGATGTTGATTTAGTTTTGTGTTACCATTTGCCTTAGTTCTGCTAACTCGGGCCTCCGTTGTTTTCTTTCACTCACTTAAAATTTATATGCCCCAAGTTTATTCTCTTGTGTGTTTTTACATCAGTTTCCTGGATATATAGCAGAAGTCCAAATATATATCCTTTTAATTGGCATAAACGTTTTTAGAGAGCAGTTTAGTAAAATACATTCTAAAGACTATGAAAATGTCATATTATTCTGGACTAGTAATTTGACTTCTAAAAATTTATCCTAAGGAGGTAACTTAAAAAAAAAAATCCTCACCCCAGGATATGTTTATTGATTTTAGAGAGCGAGGAATGGAGAGTTAGGGAGGGAAGGGGGGAGGGCGGGAGGGACGGACATCTGTTGGTTGCCTCCCCTATGCGTGGCACCCTGGCATTGAACCTGAAACCTAGGTATGTGTCTAGACCAGGGGTGGGCAAACTTTTTGACTCAAGGGCCACAATGGGTTCTTAAACTGGACCGGAGGGCCGGAACAAAAGCATGGATGGAGTGTTTGTGTGAACTAATATAAATTCAAAGTAAACATCATTACATAAAAGGGTACGGTCTTTTTTTTTTTTTAGTTTTATTCATTTCAAACGGGCCGGATCCGGCCCGCGGGCCGTAGTTTGCCCACGGCTGGTCCAGACCAAGATGAGCCTGCAGCCTCTTGGTGCCCCATTTGTTTTTCCATATGATTGTTAGATTTTTATTATCGGTTTATAGCCATAGTATACACACATACAAATACCCTTTCACAAACACAAGCTTGTAGACTTGCATTGAATTTAGAGATTTAAATATCCAGAGATTTTCTGGAAATTTATGTCTATATCATGGAATTTTACTATCCATGACTGGCGTCTCCATTGCTTTAGGTTTTCTTTTATGACTGTTATTTAAGTTTTAAAATAATATTCACTGTAAATTCATTACCTTTAAGTAATGTTAGATTTGTTCTTAGGCGTCTTGTGGATATTTTGGGGGGTGGGGGCCTAATATAAACAACTTTTTAAAGTTTGTTGTTGGATAGCTTGTTGCTGTTATATAGGACCACAATTGATTTTTGTAGGTGTATCTTGAACCTATCAATCTTGCTAAATATTTTTATAAGTTTAAAATAATTTGTAGATTTTTCTAGATTTCCTACGTAGACAATTATATAATTCACAAATTATGATGAGCTTTGGGTTTTGGTCTTTCAAATCTTTGTGTCTGCTATTTTTTTCTCTTAACCATGCAGTCAGTGACCTTCAGCACACTGTTGAATAGGTGTGGTAATAGGGAGCTTCTTTGCCTTGTCCCTGACTTTAATGGTGTTTTTCCTGTAGTTTCAAATTAAGTATGATGTTTGCTGTAAGCTTTTTACTGGGTTAAGGAAATTTCTGTTTCTGATTACTGTGAGTTTGTTGCTAGGGTTGTTATTGTTGTAATCAAATGATTTTTCTGCATCCACTGAGATGATATAAGGATATTTTTTCTTTAATCTGTTAATCTGATGAATGACATAGATTGTCCAAGTTAAATCATTCATTCTTTGGATCAACATAACTTTATCTTGAAGTTGTATTGCTATATCTGAACAAATTGTTACATAGACTCTGCTAAAATTTTATATTAGCAAATTTAGATTGTTACCTGAAATTCATACCTGAGATTCATCATATTTGATATAGCAAATAATTTTCCTTCTCAAACTGTTCTTGTCTGATTTATATTTTTAGGTTATTTTAGCCTTATAAAATGAACAAGGGAGTCATGTTTCCTCCCCTTGCCTGTTTTGGCTCTAGAATAGTTTATATAATACAAGGATTATCTGTTTCTTATATAATTGGTACAAATCACTTTTAAATCACCCTTGCTTTTGTGAGGTTTTGCTTTCTTCTGTTTTATTTTGTGTTGTAGGTAGATTTAATACTATTGATTCAAATTTTTTAATGGTTATAGGTCTCTTTGGTTTTCTATTTCTTCCTGAGTCAGTTTTGGTAAGTTATATTTTTTCTATGACCATTGTCTATTGTCAATGAGCTGTCAGTTTTATTGGTATAAAATTGTTCAGGCTGAACTCTTCCTAGTTTAAAAATCTTTTACGTGCATAGTTTTTTCATTCCTAATGTTTGTGCTTTTCTTTTCCTTCATAAATTTTGATGTAGAGCATTTTACTATTTTTTAGTTCTAAATATTTTCCAACTTTAGTTAGAATTCTTCTGTGGACCATTAATTATTTAGATGTATGCCTTTTAATATCCAACATATTTAATTATTTCTAGTTTTATTTTAATGGAGAATGGGTCTAATTGATACTAGTGTTTTGGCATTTGTCACTGTTTGCTGTTTGATTTTGTAATAGCTCAGTTTTTATAAGTATTACAAGTTTATTGAAAAGAATACATTTTTTCTAACTTTTAGGTGCAGGATTCTATATAATGTCCGTAAGATTAAACTTGTTAACTGGTTCAAATATTTTATATTCTTACCAGTTTTATTTCTCTCTGATGTATTACCTTTTATGTAAAAATCCTTAATATGATGTTAAATTATTAATTTTTCCCTGTAATCATCAATATCTTTACAACTCTTTTGTAGCTATGTTGTTATTTAGAATCGCTGTTCCAGGGTGTTTTATATGTAAGTTAATAAATTAAAAAATGTTTAAATGATTTTGGCCTTAAAATCTATTTTGAGTTATATTAATATAGCTTCCTTAACTTTATTTTGTTTAAAACCTGCCTCGTGTATCTTTTCTGTCCCTTTACTTTTTAATATTTTAGTGTCCTTATGTTTAGATGCAACTCTTTAAAACAGATTATTGCTGATTAAAAAAAAAAGTTTATTTGGCTCTGGCCAGATGCCTATGTTGGTTGGAACATCGTCCCATACACCCAAAGGTTATGAGTTCGATTACCAGTCAGGGCACATACCCAGGTTGCAGGTTCGATCCCAGGTCAGGGCTTGTATGGGAGGCAACCAGTCAATGTTTCTCTCTTACAGCAATGTTTCTCTCCTCTTCCTCTCCTATCTGCTCTCTAAAACAAATTTTAAAAAGCATATCCTTGGGTGAGGATTAAAAAAACAATGTTGATTTTGGTTTTATTTGTCATGCAGTGTGATACTGCTGTCTTTTAATCGGTGAATTTAGTCTTATGAATTCCATGATTGTAGATGTATTTATTTCTACTACCCTTTCTTGTGCTGTTTACTCTCGGTTTTGCTTGTTTGTTTACATACATGCTTGTGTTTTGTTTTTTCCCCTTTCCTGCATTCTATTGGCTTGGTCAAATTTAGTTTTATTTCTCTTTTTCGTTACTTCTTTGGAGTTTTACATTCTATTTCAAATATTTTAATGTTTATCTTAAATTTTTTTAAATTTATAATTGACCTAAAATCTAGTGTTAATGTTTTCTACCATATTCCTAATTAAAACAAGAAACTTAGTGTATTTCATACCATACAAAAATTAGCTCAGAATGGATTGAAGACCTGAATGTTAGAGCTAACATTGAAAGGAAACATATAGGGGAAGCTTATGACATTGGATTGGGCATTGATTTCTTGGATGTGACACCACACAACAGGCAACTAAAGAAAAAGTAGGTAAATTGGAGTCAGTAAAAAGTTTTCTGCATTAAAGGACAGTCATCTTAGTGAAAAGGTAACCTATGGAGTGGGAGAAAATAGTTGCAAATCATGTATCTGATAAGTGTTAATATCCAGAATATAGAGAGAACACCGACAATTCAATAACAAGTAATCCAATTCAAAATGAGCAAAGGACTTTAATAAACGTTTCTCCTAAGAAGATATACAAGTGGCCAACTAGCACATGAAAAGATGTTCAACATCACTAATCATTATGGAAATGCAGATCAAAACCACAATGAGATACTACCTCATACCCATTAGAATGGCTACCATGGACAAAGAACAGAAAGTAACAAGTGTTGACAAAGAAGTAGAAAATTGGAACCCTTGTACACTGTTGATAGGAATGTAAAATTCTATAACTTCTCTGGAAACAGTATAGCAGTTCTTCAAAAAATTAAAAATAGAATTACCACATGATCCAGGAATTTCACTTCTGAGTACATACTCCATAAAATTGAAAGCAAGGACTCAGAGAGATATTTGTACACTATGTTCAGTAGCAGCATTATTTACAACTAGAGGCCCGGTGCACAAATTTGTACACAGGTGGGGTCCCTCAGCCTAGCCTGCAGGATCAGGATGAAACTGGCTCTCCAACATCCCCCGAGGGGTCCCAGATTGTGAGAGGGCGCAGGCCAGGCCAAGGGACCCCACCAGTGCACGATCAGGGTTGGGGAGGGACGCAGGAGGTTGGGCAGCCAAGGAGGGACCACAGGAGGGCTCCAGGGCGTGTCCAGCCAGTCTCGCTCAGTCCCGATCGGCCAGACCCCAGCAGCAAGCTAACCTGCTGGTCGGAGCATCTGCCCCGTAGTGGTCAGTGCACGTCATAGTGAGTGGTTGAGCAGCCTTAGCATATCATTAGCATATTATGCTTTGATTGGTTGAACAGCTGACCAGACACACTTAGCATATTAGGCTTTTATTATATAGGATAGCCAAGGAATGTAAGTAACTTAGGTTTCCATTAACAAATAAATAGATAAATTAAAAATGGGTACAGTTTCAGTGTTGAACAATGAACAGTTCTAGAGATGGATGTTGGTGATAAGTGCACACCAGTGTAAATGTACGTAATGCCACTGAACTGTACACTTGGAAATGGTTATGATGGTAAATTTTATGGTATGAGTATTTTACCACAATTAAAAATAATAATTAAAAAGTAAATAAAGATAATGTGTAATAACATAAACATTAGACCACTTTAAGAAACTTAGACCATTTCAATCCTAATTGCACCCTTAGTGACAGGTTCTTGTTTCTAGGATTTTAGTTTCACCTCACTTTTCAGTGTTCAAGTAGTTTCCTCCTCCTCTGCCACCTTCTTTTCCTTCTGCTGCTCCTCCACTTCCTCCTCCTCCTCCTTTTCCTTTCCTCCTTTCCTCCTTTTCTTCCTCATCACTAATAACTTTGTTCACAATTTTGCTAATTGTAAAAGTTACAAAGTTAACTAACGTCTTTGTTCACCATTGCTTCTGGTATCACATCTTCCATCTGGGTTAACTTTCTTATTTTATGAAGTATGTTCTTTAGTGCTTCTGTTTATCTGAAAGGGTCTACATGTAGTAGTTCACCCAGTCTTTGTGTGAAAATGTCTTTATTTAACCCTTATTCTTGTATCATAGTGTAGATAGGTAGGGAATATAATTTTGGCAATTATTTCGTGTCGTCACTTTGAAGAAACAGTTCCATTTTCTTCTGACGGCTATGTTAGCATTAATAATTCAGCTGTCAGTTTAATTCTCATTCCTTGCTAGGTAATCTCTCTTTATTCTTTAATGTTTTTAATCTCTTAGTTTTTGGTGCTCTGTAGTTTTTAATTACAGTGTACATAGAAGTGTATCTGGTTTTATTTATCTTTTCATATCTTTCACATATTTACTGTATTTTTCATTTTAATGACTTATTTCTAGGACTTCTATTTGATTTGATTTTTTTCATCATTTTGTTCTTACGCTTTTGATTAAAAAATAAAATGTCAGAAAGTTAAAAATATTTCATGAAGTGGAACTGATACTTGTTTGGAGTCTAAGTGTATTGGTCAGATTTCTGACTTGCTCGTAATGGGATATTACTCATTTAGGTTATGTGATTGGGTTGGCAGCTCATCTTCGGTGGGCGTTTATGTGTGAGAATCCTGTGTGACCATCTGTGAGCATGTGCCTCCAGAGTAGTTTTAAGTTTGTTATGCCAGGCTTTCTGGGGCGCCTAATATGGTGCCAGTATTTTTGCCAGTTTGTTGGCTTGAGAACATCTGGACCATGGAAGTTCTGTGAACCAAAATACCAGGCGGTGGGACCATGTGACCTAAGGTTATGGACTTCTGGAGGAGGAAGTTTCTTCACACGTCAGCTGCAATCAAGATGGGCATAAAGTCTTATCTTCTCTGCTGAGTGGCAGGGTTTTGAAATCCAGCTTTTTGTTTACAGTGTACTCTCCAGGGTAGAGGTTACATGGGCAACCTCTCACTGCAAACCTCATGTATGCTCAGCGCCTTCCTTTGGTCCTCACGTTAAGATCCAAGTAATAGAAAGTGAAAACTAATGCTTACCACCCCAGGTTCTCCACCATTTCTCAATTTCTGGCCCCAAAGAGTTCTTTTTTAAACGCTTGTGTATGTTTATTTTAAAAGGTTGTTACATTTTATCTAGTATTTTTAAGAGTTTGGAACGGAGGAGTTTTCAAATTACTTAATCTCAGTATTGCCAGAGATAGTCTATTCTAATGATTATAAAGACTGGTAATTTAGTCCAGGAAACTCAGAATGTTAACCAGAATTCTGCCTTGAGAATGTTCATTTTTTGATAAGTTCTTTTAAATCTTACAAGGAACCAATTTTCTTTTAATTGAAAGCTTCTTACAAAATTGTTCCCAGGATCATTTTTAGCTATCACTTTCTAATTTACATCTAACTTGCCTTAATTATATGTCCAACTATTTTTCTCTATCGGAACTTTATTTTTTGAAGGATATATTTTTCCTTTTATATAACTTTTTAATTAAATAGTTTGTAGGACATCATTATAATTTATTTCCGTAGGTTTTCATTAAGGTATTTAAAAATGATCTCCAGGTTACTGATAAGTATCAGCCAAGTTTTTTTGAGTGGTTTTCTCCCGTAACTAATTGTAAACATTTTTTTATGTATACATGTTAGGCAGATTATCAATAATAAGAATGTTCTAACTACATCTGATGGAACAAAGGCAGGTAGACATAAGTATATACGAATCAATTGTGAATTCCTTCCAATGCAAAAAAATACCAGTTAAAAAAAAATAATGTTTGAAACTAAATATTGAATTTTCTGGCTGTGGTGTTTATCCTATATTGTTACCCTAAATGTGTCAATTCAGTAACAGCTGTAATAAAGGTTTTATAATATTATAAAACCTGAAGAACTATTAGTGTAGAGCGGGGGTCCTCAAACTACGGCTTGCGGGCCACATGCAAATACAAATATTGTATTTGTTCCCGTTTTGTTTTTTTACTTCAAAATAAGATATGTGCAGTGTGCATAGGAATTTGTTCATAGTTTTTTTTTAAACTATAGTCCGGCCCTCCAACGGTCTGAGGGACAGTGAAATGGCCCCCTGTTTAAAAAGTTTGAGGACCCCTGGTGTAGAGATTATGTAAAATTTAATTTATATGTACAAGGAAGCTAAATTCAGATAATGACAAAATTATAGTTTTGAGATACTGTCTATTGTGTAAACACATGTAAATACTTTCAAAATTATTTGTTTCTAGTATAGTAGATTGCTAAAAGTGTGAATTTCTTCAGGTTCAGTCCTCAGTGGCTGTTGGAACTCCAGATTATATCTCTCCTGAAATCCTTCAAGCCATGGAAGATGGAAAAGGCAGATACGGACCCGAGTGTGACTGGTGGTCTTTGGGAGTCTGTATGTATGAAATGCTTTATGGAGAAACACCGTTTTATGCAGAATCTCTGGTGGAGACATATGGAAAAATCATGAATCACAAAGTTAGTATACTTTACTATTTTTCAAATTGATGTAAATAATATATATAATAAATTGAATGTGATATTTAAACAAAATATTTTTCTAAAAACAGTATATGATCTAATTTCTCTGCTAATAGGGAACATGACAAACATGAATAATCAAAGTCCATTAACTCTACATAAGATTATTGGTTCTAACCCTCTACTATATTTTATTAGAGGAGGAGGTAATAAGTAGGAAATTAAATGGTTTCTAGTAGAATAACAAAGATCATAAGCAGATATTTTTTAATCATTACTACTACAGTGATAAATGATATGCAAATTAAAATAAGAATGAGAGCCCTAACTGGTTTGGCTCAGTGGATAGAGCATCAGCCTGCGGACTGAAGGGTCCCAGGTTCGATTCTGGTCAAGGGCATGTACCTTGGTTGCGGGCACATCCCCAGTGGGGAGTGTGCAGGAGGCAGCTGATCGATGTTTCTCTCTCATCGATGTTTCTAACTCTCTATCCCTCTCCCCTCCTCTCTGTAAAAAATCAATAAAATATATTTTTAAAAAAATAAGAATAAGATACTTTCCCCCCTGTCAAATTGATAAAGATTAAAAGAAAAATTGTACTTTGTACTTTAACTAATCCAGTGAGATGGGCATTATTTTTTCAATTATATTTTTATTGATTTCAGAGAGGAAGGGAGAGGGAGAGAGAGATAGAAACATCAGTGATGAGAGAGAATCATTGATCGGCTGCCTCCTGCATGCCACCTACTGGGGATCGAGTTCACAACCGGCATGTGCCCTGATCAGGAATTGAACCATGACTTCCTGGTTCATAGGTCAACGCTCAACCCCTGAGCCATGCCAGCTGGGCTAGATGGACATTATTGATACGAATATAAATTGATGTAACCTTTCCGTCAAGAAGTTTATCAGATTGCATCTAGAGTCTTTAAAAATGGTTGGGATTTTTTAAAAAAATCTTTATTGTTGAAAGTATTACATATGTCCCCTTTTTTTCCCATTGACCTCCTCCAGTCTGCCCCCACCTCCCGCCCTCCCATGCCCCCGCCCCAGGCCTTCACCACCCTATTGTCTGTGTCCATGGGTTATGGATAAAAGGTCTTTGGTTGATTAAATGTTTGGAACTTTTGATTGACCAGCTTCGGCTGCAGTAGTCTACCCTCAGGAAATCTTCACTAGAATAGAGGTGGATGTACCAGAATGCCTATTCTACTATTATCTATGGTCACCAGATATTGACAATAATCCAGATGCACAACAGGAGTGAATTAATAGAACTTTAATCCACTTAATACCAAGTTAAATGGAATAGATTGATCGGTCTCAGAAAATTGTGAGAAATTGCAAACACTTGGATTGTGACTGGGAGTATTCCATAAAGGGAGTGATAATCTATTCTTTTTACTTGGTTCTACTGACACATTTATGATTAGTTGCTTCACACATATATAAACCAGTTCTATAGAATTTATGCTCTTCTACCTGGTTGCAAAGATAATCTGGTAAATAGTGGTGACGAGTTGAAAGACAGTGAATAGCTACAGAGCTGTAGAAAGCATGAAAGCATTTCAGAGGGGAGTCATTGTACTATAACATGATGGTTAAGAACACAGATGCTGGAGTCAAGACAGTTTCAGGTCAAATCCCAGCTCTGCCATTTACTAGCCTGTGGTCTTGAGCCAGTTGCTTGAGTTCTGTGCCCTAGTTTCCTCCTTTGTAAAAATTAGGACAATAATAAGCACCTTCCCCTTACCCCCCTACTGCTTAGAGGGTTGCTGTGAGGATTAAATGAGGAAAGCACTTTCAATAGTGTCAAGTACATGTTCCATTTTAAAAAAATGTTTATTATTAATCATTAGTATGTGACTTGTATGAACCCTTTGTACTCTTGAAATATCCAGGCAAATTCTATTTTTAATGAATTCTCTTGATTCTGACAGCAGTTTAAGGTATTTTAGCATTTAATTTATTCTTACTACAGTGCATGTATGACTTAGTCACACATGAAATTAAAATTGTTTAGGAAGACATTCTTTTCTCACTTATTCCCATATTTTCTTCAGTGTCTGTACCTTGTATCAGTATATTCTTATAGATATTTTGAAAAGAAAATGCATTTTCAAGAAAATAAATGTTAACCTCCTTATAGTAAGTTAAATGGTGATTTATAATGTGTTTCCATTACTCTCTGTATAGGAGAGGTTTCAGTTTCCACCTCAGCTGACAGATGTGTCTGAAAATGCCAAGGATCTTATTCGCAGGCTCATCTGTAGCAGAGAACATCGACTTGGTCAAAACGGAATAGAAGATTTTAAGAAACACCCATTTTTCAGTGGAATTGATTGGGATAATATTCAAAACTGTGAAGCACCTTATATTCCTGAAGTCAGTAGTCCAACAGACACATCGAACTTCGACGTGGATGATGACTGTTTAAAGAATTCAGTGAGTATGACGTTGTGAAGATCTGTCCCTGTTTCTTTTTAACGTGGTTCTGAAGCAGCTTTGTGGACCACCTTATCAGCCATCAGTCAGATAGTTGTGGCTTCTAGTATTTATTCACAGATTCAAGAAATCAAGAGAGTGTACTGACGCCAAGATAGTTATTCATGACTAGGAGCAAAGTCAAAATGCAAAGGTTTACTTCTTAGATTAGTTACGTCTTTACGTTTCCTAAGAAGAGGACAAATTAGATGCTTAAAAAAGTGAACTTCATGATGGCAAATCTCTCCTTAAAATCCACTATGAAATTAGATAAAATTGTTAACCATTTCGGGGCTTGACACATTAACCCAAGGTAAATATATTGAGAAGCACCTATTCATGAAAAACCACTGAACTTGGTTAAAAACAGCTGCCTTCCCCCCCTCCTGGCCCCCCCCCCCCTCAGCTTGGGTGGGTCAGGAGAGCTGCTAGCTTGCAGCTCCTTATACACCCAGCAGCTTTGCTGCCCAGGGGGCTGCCTGGATTTGGGAGCTAAATAACCCATGCCCAGTGGTATTGCCACTAGAAACGGCAAACTTGGTAGGAAATGAATGGGTAAAGGAATCTACAGCCTTACTATCCTGAGGTTGTAGCCATGTTTGAGGCACTGGCAGACCAGCAGGTTAGCCAAATACTCAACCATTTTCAGCTGTGTGAAGTACTAAACCAGGCCAGCATAGTTTGTCAACCTCTGCCTTAAATCATTATGTTTTATCAAATTAGAATTTATAAAACTAAGAACATAAAATTGTTGTTTTTTGCACTTTTAGCCTTTTTAATTGACTTTTTGTTTTAATTCAATTATTTTTTATGGTTTTAATTCTGCCCTAAGAATTTTTATATTAATTTTATATCATTTTACACTGTTCAGTAAGTACCATATTCAGGGCAGATAAGAGAAAGACAAGTACTGATGACTTCACTTATATGTGAAATCTAGTGAACAAAGTAAAGAAATAAACAAAATAGAAACAGACTCATAGATACAGAGAGCAGACTGACAGCTGTTGGGGGTGGGGGAGTACTGGGGAGCTGGGTGAAAAGGTGAAGGGAATCCTACCTAATAAAGAGGGAATATGCTCACTGACCCCCACACCTTCGCAAATAAGGAGGGAATATGCTAATTGACTGCCCCGCCCTCAAAGATGGTGGTGCCCACAGCCACAAGATGGCAGGAGAGGGCAGTTGGGGGTGATCGGGCCGGCAAGGGAGTAGTTAGGCGTTGATAAAGCTGGCAGGAGAGTGGTTAGGGGTGATCAGGCTGGCAGGCAGAAGCGGTTAGGGGCAGGCAGGGAGGCAGGCAGGCGAGCAGTTGGGAGCCAGCAGTCCCGGATTGTGAGAGGGATGTCCGACTGCCGGTTTAGGCCCGATCCTAAACATCCCCCGAGGGGTCCTGGATTGGAGAGGGTACAGGCTGGGCTGAGGGACACCCCCGCCCCCAGTGCATGAATTTTGTGCACCAGGCCTCTAGTAATAATAATAAACACAAAAACACTTCAGACAACAATATGGTCATTATCAGAGGTGGAAAGGGGGGTAAGGGGATAGAGGAGGTAATGGGGGAATCAGCGGTGATAGGAGACTTGACTTGGGGTAGTGAGCACACAACACAATATACAGAGGATGTATTATAGAATTGTACACCTGAAGCCTATATAACTTTATTAACCAGTGTCACCTCAATAAATTCAGTAAAAAAAAAGAACCTCTCTTATACTTGCCTTTCTCAGCCTCACAACAAAAGAATTAAATAGACTTTTCCTCATCAGTGTTTTATTACAGGAACTATGTTTACTGCTAACAGAAATTGTGAGTCATTCCTAATTAAATCAATTCTGATTACTTAATAGTTATGTTCAGTAAAGTTGCTGTACACACTCTAATAGTGAATGTTGAGCCATTGCCCCTAGGGGAAGGTAGGGTTAGGTTCCTGTGAGCCTGTGGTCGACATTTTCGTCAACCGATAAATACATAACCTTGTTTTATGTGTGTTCCTGTTTCAAGATACCTTAATATTTAGTAGATATTGTTGGTTAATTAACACTGGACTCACAGCCAACAGCTCTGTAACTCATGCCTGAATGAAGCTTATCTAACACATTTTTTGGTGAGACTCCTCACACAGCCTTCTTGTTTAGGAACAAAAGACGGCACTTGAGTACTATGCTTGGGGGCCAGTTTAACAGCAAAAGCACCCATAAAAGGCACAAAAATGTGAAAAGCATGGTGCACTGAGACCCTGCAAAGAACACTTGTTTACAGTCTGAGGGATGAAGTAAGAAGGCGAGCATCCCTTGTTCAGTTCCAGCTGGGAACGTGTGTGTAGGGAAGCCTGGACTTTCCTTTGCTCTGTACCTGTCTGCTAAAGCCGCGGTCGCCAGCTGGTGGTCCACAGACACTGGTGGTCCCTGAGGTACGAAGGGTTGGAGACCGCTGTGCTAAAGTGCTGCGAATATTGATTGGGTTACAGATAAATTTTAGTGACCAGGCAAATTTGCAAATATGGACCTCATGAAAAATGACTGTATTCAATATCAGACTTTATTTTCATTTTATTAGAATTTTACAATAGCAGTGTTTATGGTCTAAATATTATTTCACCTAAATATCTGTTCCAAACTTTTCAGTGTTTCTAAATTGAACAGTCACATATTGCCTATTGACAGTTAATATTTATAGCCCAACCTACAGGTCATAGTTATTTGTTTCTCACCAGAAGCTTTTATCTCCTATAGGAAACGATGCCCCCACCAACACATACTGCATTTTCTGGCCACCACCTGCCATTTGTTGGTTTTACCTATACTAGTAGCTGGTAAGTTTGAAAAGTTAACATAATTTGGACAATTTAAAGCAAATTAAAATGAGTTGTTTAAAAATTGATAATGTATAAAACAACTTTGTAAATCAAAAAATTTAAAAATGGTGAAGCTACTGCTGGAATAAGTTAAATATTTCAAAAGGAAAAGAACATAGAAGAATCATAACTCATTTTGGAGGAGAAAGAATAGAACAGTTAGCCCAGAAATCTAACTATTAACAATGGGGCAGGAATTCGAGGAGTCCCCTTGCTATTGAATAAATTTTCTCTAGGTGTCAAGAATCAGCAATTTCAACTCATTAATCCTAGCCATCTTTGCACTGACCCTCATTCCACTCATATCTTCTTTTTACTCCTTACGCAGTTTACATTTCAAGGACAATAATTATCATCGCTCCTTATAAGTGCTCCCTCAGTTCCTTAACTATCTCACTTTGTTACGCTAGTTTTGCTAAGTTGACACTCATTATTACTGCCTGTACCTGTGCAGTTCAGTGTCTAGAAAAAAAAATCTGTGACCATTCTTACTGGTCTCACTTTAAGGTCATGATTACTAACCTCCAGCTGCATGGCCACCTCCCTTCTTACTGCATGGCACCTGTGCTACCCTAGTGTAGCCCCCCCTTCCACTCTCTTCGGTGTCTGTTTCACATTGCAGATGTTCCTCTAAAACCTCTGTCATCCGCACTCTCAGCTGGCGATCTCTCTTCCCTTTGACGAAGAGTAGATAACTTCCGTAGCGCCCATCACATTTACCACCTGCAGACCTCTGGACCCTTATCTTCTTTCTAGGTATGGACTCCGAGTCCCTCCGTCCCCTCTTGCTTGCTGTTACAAGTTTTTCCCTTTCTGTGTCATTGGCATAATCAGAGCATTCACATGAGCCCATAGACATGCAGGTTTTCTCTCCCATCTTAAAGCAGAGTGTAACGTCTCTTCATACCACTTTCTTTACCCTGCGACTAACCATTTCTCAGCTCCACATTATAGCAGAATTACTTCCAGCTGTTGTCTATATTTTGCGATTTTTTTTTTCTCATTCTATTCTTTCTGACATCACCCCAGTCAACTTTGCAAGCTGCTTTTGTTGATGTCACCACCGACCTCCATGTTGCTAAATTTAATGATCATTTCTTTTTTTAAAAAATATGTTTTTATTGATTTTTAGAGAGAGAGGAAGGGAGAGGGATAGAGAGAGAAACGTCATTGATCAGCTGCTTCCTCCACGCCCTCCACTAGGGGATTGAGCCTGCAACCCGGGCATGTGCCTTGACCGGGAATCGAACCGGGACCTCTTGGTCAGGGTTTGACGCTCAACCACGGAGCCATACCAGCCGGGCTAATGATAATTTCTTGGTCTTAGTTGCTCAGTCTCATCTTATTTGTCATGTTTCCTTCCCATTAAAACGCACTCTTCTCTTAGCTTCCAGGGCACTTGCCTGATTTGTCCTTATCTTTCTGGCCACACCCTCAGCCCCATCTGCTGCCCCCTTGTCCCATAGCTCCATCTTTGGATCTTTCCTCTGATACTTGGGTGCTCTCTCAGGCACTATGATGCTCCTACTGTGTGCCTCCAGCCTGAGACCTCTTTCCTCTCTTCTATTTGAAATCTCTTAACCACCTACTTCAAATGTTCACAACTTGGATTCTTACTTTCTCTGAGCCTATCTGAGTGGTCCTGCTAAAAGTTAAGTCGGAACATGTCATTCCCCCCTTTAGGACTGTCCCCACCTCTGGCTACTTTATATCTTAACTCCAAATCTTCCCTGATTGTGTCTACTACTACTGTTCCCCTTGCTCATTCCACTCCAGCCACACAGGTCTCCTTCCTGGCCCAGGAACATGCCAGTCATCCTCTTGTTTCAGGGCTTTTGCACTTCTATTCCACGGAGCTGGGATACTTCTCCCGATATTCCTAGAGTCCCTCTCTCTGTGAACTTCATTCAGCGTTACTTTCTGAGTGATGGCTTTCCTGACCACTTTACCTAAATCTTTATTTTCTCCCGCTCAGACCTCCATTTCTCCCCTTCCTGCTCTCGTTTTCCCCTTAGCAGTTAACGTTATCTAACGCACTGAACATTTTACTTACTCATCCGTTTATCTTTGTCACTGGAATATAGGCTCCACATCGGGCAAGTTTTGTTTTGCTCACTGCTGAGTGTCCAGGACTTCAGATAGGTTTTTTTCTGATTGCATTGCATTAAAGAAAGCATTTCACCTTTGAATTCCCAGTTCCAGTGAAGGGGCCCATGGTTGGTGCTTTTGACTAGTAATTCGCATTGATGGTTACATCGTTTCAAGCTACCAATAACCCTTCAGCAAACGTCATTTTATAATTTTTTGTTTATTAAAAGAAATACAGGGTAATTTGGGCAATTTAAGTTTTCATTTTTAAAAATGCTTCTAAAAAGTTGTTTATGCTGATTTTGAAAAAAAAAGTGTTTCACAGTCATTCTAGATGGCTGACTGTAACTAGATGTTCAAATCCAAGTTTCACAAGGTTATCGAGTTGTTGTTCAGTGTGAACCCACCTTGTTGTCTTTTCTCCAGTGTTCTTTCTGATCGCAGCTGTTTAAGAGTGACAGCTGCTCCCACTTCTCTGGATCTCGATGCTAATGTTCAGAGGACTCTAGACAACAACTTAGCCACCGAAGCTTATGAAAGAAGGATTAAACGCCTTGAACAGGAAAAGCTTGAACTTAGTAGAAAGCTTCAAGGTAAATATATTTTAAAGATAACATTTTTCAAATCCTGTCTTACAGCAGGTGCAGGGGACAGGACTATAAAGGGGAAGGGGCTTAGGGGGAGGCGGAATGCAGCTACGGGCAGCTTTGGAGGTCCGCAGACGTCAGCTGTTGTCCTTCAATGAGATGTGCCGGGAGCCGGTCCATCCTTGCTGTTTCAAGGGACCTGGCATATATGGCATACTGTTCTTAATATGTTTGCTCACCTTCTTGGCACTATGTGTTTTAACCAAGGTCTCTGAGAAAGGTTGTTTCCCCAGGTAGGGATTTTTCCCCTGAAGTTAGGGAGGGAATAAAACCTCTTAACTAAGTGCCAGGTGGGTAATTAATCACTTTAACTACAAACAATCATGCTTAAGCTACATAATCTTTACTCCCTGGAATGGAGATAAGAAACGCCCTAACCTTTGAAATAGAGATTGATAGGATTGGCATCAACTGGTATAAATACAGATGTAAGAAGACAGAACCAAGAGAGACAGAACCTAGGCACAGAACCTACACAGAATGTTCTCTAGAGACAGAAGAACTTCGCTGGAGAGAACATGGCAAAAGTTCCTGGACAGAAACTGGCCTCAGAACCTGGAGACAGAACCTAGCGAGAGAACATGGCAAAAGATCCTGGACTGAACCTGACTGTAGAACATAGCAAGAGAACCTGACTAGAACCTGGTGACTGAACCTGGCTGGAGAACCTGGACAGAACCTGGCTGGAGAACCTAGCGAGGGAACATGGCTACAGAACCTGGCTGGAGAACCTGGAGAACCTAGCAAGAGAACATGGACACAGAACCTGGCTGGAGATCCGAACCAGAACTTTGCTGGAGAGCCAGACCAGAACTTGGCTGGAGATCCTGGCTAGAGATCCTGGCTAGGCTGCTGATCAACTGAACGCTGTCTCCGTGTCATTCCTTCTTCGCCGACTCCGTCCACACCTTTGGGGACCCCTGGACCTGCTGGGGCCGGACCCCGGCAGAGATGATGTTGATGGAATGATGTTTTGACTCCTGATGGGTCGGTCTGACCCTGCTTATTGGTTCCACTTGCTGGATTCACAGCTGAGTCACCACCTCAGTCCCTTCACACAGGCCTTGAAAAGGAAACTTAAGAAAACTTAACCCCATATTCAAATAGGTATACATGTTCTAAGATTTAATATAGTATGATTCTTTTTCAGGTTAATTCGGGTGCTTTGTCTATCAGATTATAGGTCCCCCTGTCACCTACAATTCTGTCCCTCTGCCACGGCCCCTCTTCTGCCGTCAGTTCTCATGCTATGTCATCTGTCATCATACCCTTCCTTATACCCTCAAGTCTATTGCCCTCTTTTAGTTTGTCAGATGCCTGTGGTAGAACTCCAGTCCTGTTACATACACTCTAACTGCGCTGAAGGTAGTTTACGTAAAACACAACATGCTGACTACTTCACATGCATGAACACTGATCTCAAATTGAGTCTTAATCCTGCCCAGTAGTCCTACTTTTTCCTTAGCCCATTGTCCTGCCCTGTGTTGCAGAAGCCAGCAATCATTTCCCAGTGGTCATCGTGTCACCCATCAGCGTTTCACCCTCTTGACCACTCCCCCCTCCAAATAGCTCTTTCTGCTTTTGGCTTGTGGGACACTTTAATCTCCTGGTTGTCTTTTTCTTAAAAGCTAGTTATTCTCAGTCTCATTTGCTGATGTCTCCTTCACTCTTTGACAACTAAATGTTAGAATCCTCCAGAATCCTCCATGATTTGAGTTGTTCTGAACTAAAGCCTTAGAGTTATCTTTAACCCTCTCACTCTCACACCTCATGTCTGACCCGTCAGCAGAGCAGGGCAGCTTTGCCACTATAGTCAGCCTGGAATCTGCTGGCCACGCCCTGTGGTGTTGCCACCTGTTTCAAATCATCGTCAGCTCTCACCTGTATTCCTGCAATAGCTTCCTAACTGTTCCTCCCTTGCTCTCTCTCAAACTCATTTCACATACCATCCAGCTGGTACTCCCCTTTCTGGCTGCATCCCTTCCTCCTCTCTCCTTTGTTCTTTCTATTCTGGCCACCCTGGGCTCCTGGCTGTTCTCTCCACGAACTAGGCACATCCCCACCTCGGGGCCTTGGCTGTAGCTCTTGTCCTGCTGTCAGTGTTCTTCCTGTGGTGTACACATGAACACATGTGATTCATCCCCTTACCTCCTGCAGGCTGTACTTGAATGCTACCTCCCAGTGAGTTCTTTCCTGACCATTCTATTGAAAATGGAATCTCCCTTCATTCCCAGCACTCACTCACCCCCTTTGCTGCTTTATTTTCTCCAACATACAGGATGTAACCTGCAATGTATTCTATTTAATTTGTTTCGTGACATCAAATGAAACAGTGTGTATATAAATAGTCTGTTGGGGTCCAGCCCCAGCAGGTCCAGGGGTTCCCAAAGGTGTGGACAGAGTTGGTGAAGAAGGAATGACACGGAGACAGCGTTCAGTTGATCAGCATAGCCAGGTTCTCGCCAGGTTCTCTCTCTATTCTCCTGTTACATCTGTATTTATACCATTTGATTTTAATCCTATCCATTCTATTCCAAAAGTTAGGGAGTTTGTTATCTCCATTCCAAGGTCACTACTGTTCTGTTAAGCTACAAGGAAGTAACTGAAGGAGATTATCCTAAGTAAAGATTATGTAGCTTAAGCGTGATTATTCGTAGTTAAGGTGATTAACTACCCGCCTGGCACTTAGTTAAGGGGTTTTACTGATTTATTCCCTTCCTTAGTCCTGTTAATCCCTAACTCCAGGGGAAAATCTCCACCTGGGGAAACAACCTTTCTCAGAGAGGTGACCTTGGTTAAAACACATAGCGCTAAAAAGGGGAGCAAACATATTAAGAACAGTATGCCATATACGCCAGGTCCCTTAAAATACATGCTGTGCAGATGTTTCTTCCCTGCAGCGACTGTGTCAAGCAGCAAGGATGGAACGGCTTCCAGCAATAGTTAAGAAACTTGTAGCTATTAAAAGAGAAAGTTTTACAATAATAAACTTTTGCTTTTATGCTTTGGAGGCCCAGTAGAGAGAGACTCTGTAGACATCAATAAAACAGACAATTTTTTGTTTTTTCAATATGTTGCTGCATGTAAATTACTCTCCCTTTTCATGCAAGTTAGTTTTTATTTTTTTATTAAATATATTTGACCTATAACATTGAATAAATTTAAGGTGTACAGTGTTAACTTGGTACATTTAGTTATTGTAATACGATTTCTGTTGTGATACTTAGCACCTCAATCATATTACATACTTATAGTATAAAAATACAGTACTATATTATTAACACCCTGCATTAGCTCTCTGTGGCTTATTTACTACTCGTTGCAAGTTTGTATCCTTAAACACCATCAATCTTATCCCTCCATCCCCACACCCTAGTAACCGCTACTCTACCCTATTCTTTTTGAGTGTGACCTTTTTAAATTCACATAAAAGTGACATCATACAGTCCTTTACTTTCTCAGTCTGACTTATCTCAGCTTAGCATAATGTCCTCACGGTCCGGCCACGTTGTCGCAGGTGACAGGATATCTTCCTCTCGTGGCTGAATACTATCCCATCACGTGTGTGTACCACATCTTATCCATCTGTTCATTGATGTGCATGTAGGTAATTCCATATCATGCTTCATCCTTTATCCTTGCCCTTTGCGCCTCTATGTGCCTTTAAGGCTGAAATGAGTCTCCTGCAGGCCGCATCTAGTTGGGTCTTGTTTTCTAGTCCAGCCAGCCACTCTGTGCCTTTTGATTGGTGAGTTCAGTCCATTCACATTCATGGTGATTATTGATATGTAAGGACTTACTACTATTATTTTATCCTTTTTCCTTCTGGTGATTTTGAATCTCCATTCCGCCCTCTTTCCTTCTGTTTCTGTTCACCGTTGTAAGTTGATGGGTTTCCATGGTGATATGCTCGTTCTCCCCTCACCCCCTTTTTTGTTTTGAGTCTATGCTCTATAGTTTTGCTTTGTGATTACCATGAGGTTTACATAAAACATCTCATAGATAAAATAGTCCTTTTTATCTTCATTCACCTACAAAGGTTCTGTCCTTTTACTCCTCCCTTTTTATATTTTTGATGTCACAAATTATTTCTCTTTGGTGCGAATTTGTTACCAAATAGTAGTAGCTATAGTTAATTTTCAATGCTTTTTTCCTTCAGCGTTTGCTATAATTAAGTGTTTAACACTAATCTAAAATAGAGTTCGTTTTCTACTTCTGACTGTCCCCTTAATCTTCTCACTTTAGCTTGAAGAGGCCATTGCAGCATTTCTTGTAAGGCAGACCTGGCAGTGAACTCACTCAGCGTTTGTTTCTCTGGGAAAGCCGCTCTTTCTCCTTAATGTAGATAGAGTATTCCTGGCTGGCAGTTTTTACCTTCCAGTACTTTGAGTATGTGATTCCACCTTCTCCTGAACTGTAGGATTTCCTCTGAGAAATCTGCTGATAGCCTAATGGGGTTCCTTTGTAGTTTCATGTTTCCCCCCTAGTTGTCCTTAAAATTAGGTCTTTGTCATTGACTTTGATAGTTTATTTAATGTGTGTTAAAGGTTTTCTTTTTAATTTTATATTTTTATTGATTTCAGAGAGGAAGGGAGAGGGGGAGAGAGATAGAAACATTAGTGATGAGAGAGAATCACTGATCGGCTGCCTCCTGCATGCCCCCCATTGGGGAACGAGCTGGCAACCCAGGCATGTGCCCTGACCGGGAATCGAACTGTGACCTGCTTCATAGGTTGATGCTCAACCACTGAGCCATGCTGGCCGGCCAGGCTCGAAGGTCTTTTTGTATTGAGATAGTAAAGTATTCTATCAGCTTTGTGGACTTGCATGTCTAGTTCTTTTCCCCATGCTTGGTAAGTTCTTATCTACTATTTCTTTAATTAAATTCTCTCTTCCGCCATCCCCCCGGACTTCTGGTATACCCATTATTCATATATTGGCTTCTCTGATGGAGTCAGATAACTATTACAGGTTTTCTTCATTTTAAAAATATTAATTCTCTCTTTTCCACCTGAGTCATTTCTAGTACCTATCATACAGAGTGCTATTCTCTCTTCCATGTGGTTTACTCTATTCCCAGCACTTTCTAATGCATTCTTCATCTCATTTATTGAGTTCTTCAGCTCCAGAATTTTTCCTTGGTTTTTTAATTTAAACCTCTTTGGGAAATTACTTATTCTGTTCATTATTCTTATTCCAGAGTTCACTGAATTGCCTTTCTGAGTTTTCTTTTAGTTTAATTTCTTCATAACAGCTATTTTGAATTCTTTATCAGATTTCAGCATTCCATGTCTTTGAGTTTGGTTGCTGGAGAATTGTCATTTTCTTTTTGTATTAACTGTGCTCTTTCAGTGTTTCATGAAATGTGCCTCTGTCATCACATTTGAAGAAGCAAATCTCTTTCTTATTTAGGTAAGGCTTGGTTTACTTTGGTTCTAACAGCTCAATAGCTTGGCAACCAGAAACCCTTCTTTTGTTTTCCAGAAAGTGGCGATAGCACACGTTTTTGGTTTGTCTGAAAGTTACTGACTTACAACTCTGATTATGCTTAAATGTGCTGGTGGCAGGGGAGTGCGAGGTGTGTGCTTAACACCTGGGGCTTTGGGTGTGCTCACGGCCTGGGGAGGGGATCCTCAAGGTGGGGCGTCCCAGAGGTCTGTGGGCCCACAGCAGGACATGCAGTTCTCTTCGTCTGCCTCTTCCCTCTCCTTTGCCTCCCCAGCCCCGAGGTCTCTCCTCTGGAAGCAGGTGCTGAAGAGCACAGGCTCCTCCAGCTGCAGCCTCCTGGAGGCCAGGCCCACTTTTACTTTCCACCTCGTCTGCTAGAAAGGTCTCTGCTGCCCCCTGGAGTCACCGCTGCTGTGACTCCCGGGGCTCTGTAGCCTCCTGCTAGGTCAAACCCACCCACTCTGGATCCGCAGCTGGATGGGTCCTGGGGGATACTGGAGTGCCGTGCAGAGGCACTTTTGTTAGGTATGGATGTCCTATTAGTGGTAAGTCCAAGGAGATAGAAAAGAGGAACGGCCAGGTCACCGTGATGCTGTCACCCTGTTTTGATTTTTAAATGGTGTTATGCATATAGCAAGGTGAGCAGATACTCTCTTTTTAAGTGGAAGCCCCATAAATGTTTATACATGTGTCCATTCATGTCGCCTACACCCCAGTCAATGTATAAAATATTTGTAGTGCAGCATAAAGTTCCCTCATGCCTCTTGCCAGTCTGTTTCCCCCCACTCTGAAGTAAATGCTGTTTTAATTCTTTTCACTCGTAATTAATTTTACCTGTTCTTGAATTTCATATAAATGGTATCATATAGTATGATCTCATTTGTATCTGGCTTCCACATGTCCATTGGGCATTTTTATATCTCCCCATTTTCTACTCTCAACTTAGATGTCTTTAAAATAAACAAAGGATATTCTCTTAAAAACAATAAATACAAAAAGCACCAGTCTTTAGCATGTTTAAACCCAAAGGTGGAGAAACATGTAAGAAATAGTTATTGGGTGTAGATCAACACCTTTAAGTCAAATGAACAAATATTTATGACAGCTATGCATGATGATGATGATGTTCTCCACACAGATGGCGAAGAGTAATTAGAAAATCTCTGTCCTCTGTAGGTGACAGTTTTTTGGAGCTAAATATATATATAATATATTTAAGTAATAATATGTTATATAAGTAACAAGTTATATAAAGCAATATATAAATAAATGCAGTCATGCACAGGAATGCCATTTCAGTAAACAATGGGCCAACATGGTGATACCATAAGATTATAATGGAATTGAAAAATTCCTATGGCTTAGTGACATCATAACTGTCAAAAAGTTACCGAGTACCACATTACCTGTTTATGATGATGCTGGTGTAAACAGATCTACTGTGCTGCCAGTCATATAAGAATATAGCACGTACAATTACATTAGTCTACTATCCAGGTTTGTGTAAGTGCACTCTATGGCATTCACATGATGAAATTGCCTAACTGCATTTCTCAGAACAGTGTTGTTAAATGGTGCATGACTGATGCAGGGCAATTAGTAATGATTTGTACTAACAACATTTGTGGTAAGTTAGGGTCTTCCTATTTAGGAACCCTCCATAAGGTAGCAGCAGAATGATTATTTGAGGACAAGAGTCATTTCATTTCTGACATAAGTGGTTTTAAGTTTTTCCCATATCTTTGATACTATCTGGGAATAAGACTCAATAGAATGAAGGCTTCTTTAATACCTTGCATCCTCTCATTAGAACCACAAGATAAATAATCTCTATTTTAACTAAACTGATGAGCCAAAGTTTCTTGTAAGTGGGCCTCTCAACTTTCATGCATAAAAATTGGAAGGCCAGAAGTTCTACATCTTGTATATTAACACCCCCAAGACCTTCCTTCATACACCAGTCTCAGTTTTTCGTATATCATCTGACAGAGCAGTTACTAAATGGTGCCACTGCCCTACATACAGGTGGGCAAAAGTAGGGTTACTGTTGTGAATACACAAAACACAGTTTATTCTTGTGTTTTTCCTAATTAATGTATAATTTTCCATACAAACAAATGTAAACCTACTTTTACCCTACCCTGTATCCTATATAATAAAAGCCTAATATGCTAAGTGTCCAGTCATCCAGTTGCCATTCAACCAATCAAAGCATAATAATATGCTAATGATATGCTAAGGCTGCTCAACCGCTTGCTGTGGCGTGCACTGACCACCAGGGGCAGGCAGTCAACCGGTTGACCAGTCACTATGACATGCACTGACCACCAGAGGACAGATGCTCTGACCAGTAGTTAGCTTGCTGCTGGGCTCCAGCTGATCGGGACTGAGTGCGATGGGCCAGACATGCCCTGGAGCCCTTCTATGGCCGGTTGGCCAACCTCCTGCGTCCCTCCCTGGCCCCGATCATGCACTGATGGGGTCCCTTGGCCTGGCCTGCGCCCTCTTGCAATCCAGGACCCCTCGGAGGATGTCGGGGAGCTGGTTTCGGCCCGACAGCGGAACGACCCGTTGCTATGATGTGCACTGACCACCAAGGGCAGACGCTTAACGCAGGACCTGCCCCCTGGTGGTCAGTGCGCTCCCAGAGGGGAAGCACTGCTCAGCCAGAAGCCGGGCTCACGGCTGGTGAGCACAGCAGTGGTGGCGGGAGCCTCTCCCGCCTCTGCAGCAGCGCCAAGGATGCCCAACTGATGGCAGAGGGAGCGGGCCTAAGCCATCAGTTGGACATCCCCTGAGGCCTCCCGGACTGCAAGAGGGCGCAGGCCGGGCTGAGGGACCCCCACCCAAGTGCACGAATTCGTGCACTGGGCCTCTGTTATTGTATAAAGACGGATACAGTGGAGTTTCATGATTTGATTTTAATGTGTTTATGTGCTTATTTTCAATGGATAGATGTTTTGACTAGTAGAATTATATAAGGGTTTCTCTAGAAGTATATATTGCCATTAGTTTTGAAAATGTAGTGTATGGCCAGCTTTCTTATTTATTGTTTTATTCTCTTTTTTTTAAAGAGTCAACACAGACTGTCCAAGCTCTGCAGTATTCAACTGTTGATGGTCCACTAACAGCAAGCAAAGATTTAGAAATAAAAAGTTTAAAAGAAGAAATTGAAAAACTAAGGAAACAAGTAAGAGGTAAATTTCTTTGATTCACTATTAATTAAGTTTAGTAGACTTTTTAAAATATTCTACTCACACACAAAACATTTGTTGAATACTGCATGTGGTACGTGTTATGTGGTATAGGCTATGTGCCAGTGAGGGAAAGCAAATAAAAGTGGTTTCTGCTTTCAGGAGCTCACATTTTGGTCTGGGAGAGAGATCACCAAATCGTTTTTGCAATGCATGTGTACAGGCTACCAGAAAAATAGACGTAGGTGCATGGCGAGTGCCTAGGAGGAGCACCTCACCCAGATTTCAGTTAACAAAGATGACTTTTGGAAAGACCTATTAGTTTGGAATATTTAATTGGAATTTGTCTGGTAAAGTGTATGTATGAGTAGGCGAAAGAGTGTTAGACATGAGGAAGGACAAACAAAGGAATTGCATGTATGCAGGCATGAAGGCATGTGAAATTTTATTTTTTTGGTAACTTATTTTTCAGTCAGTGTATTGCTGAGATAGATGAAAATTAATTTTGACAATTCTTGATATACCTATTATATCCGTTCACTTACTTGTTTAATTCATTTAACAAATACTTACTGAGCGCCTACTGTGTGTACCAGGTGTTGTTTTAGGCTCTCGGGATTCTAGAAGGGACAAGAGCTTAAAAAATAGAGCAGAATAAGGGTTGCAAGTGCATGATGAGTTCTATAATTTTAAGTAGTCCCGGTGTAAGACTCGTTGAGAAGGCGACACGTGAACAAAAACTTGAAAATGGATAGAGATTTAGCCATGCACTTGCATTGGGAACTTATGTTCCAAGGAGAAGGACCAGCCAGTGCAGGGCCACAGAGTCAGATGAGCCTCTTGAGTTGAGATAAAACACAGAGGACAGCATGGCTGGCGTAGGATGAGCAAGCAGGGAGGAGGAAGGAGGCGAGGTTGGGGAAGTAAAGGGGACAGAGGGCTTTTGCCTGGTCAGCAGAGTCTTACTGAGTGTTTTAAGAGCTATGGATTTGTTCTGAGTGAAATAACCTTTCTCAGAGTTTAGAGTCATCCATGATCTCAGTGGGTTTAGAGAGAGAGCAGTTTGTTGTATGTTGATAACTTTCTTCTCCCTGTTCATTATGTAATTGTTTTAAGTATTTCCTCTTCACATGTTTTAGAAGCATATCAGACAAGTTTATAATGTTTCCTTCCATCATGAAATGTAATTTAGAAAACTATAGAGAAGAAAAAAATTCAATTGTATTTACCATATTTTTATATGCCATGTTCTTCCTTCCTTCCTGAAATTGCTGAGTTCCTTGTTTGCTTTCTGTTTAGAGAACTTCCTTTAGCCATTTTTAAAAGGTGGGCCTGCTAACAAATTCTTAGTTTTTCTTCATCTGAGAATGTCTTAAATTCCCCCCTCATTCCTAAGATATGTTTTTGCTGGGCATATGATCTAATGTTTCTCTAGATACTTCTTAAGCAAAACCTTTGTGTAAACAAATTTCCCACTGTTAAAGGTTTTTATGTCTTTACTATGGCAACATTTTCTTTCTTTTTTAAAATATATTTATTTCAGAGAAGAAGGGAGAGAGATAGAAAATCAATGATGAGAGAGATTCATTGATCGGCAGCCTCCTGCATGGCCCTTACTGAGGATGGAGCCTGCAACTTGGGCATGTTCCCTGACTGGGAATCAAATCGTGGCCTCCTGGTTCATGGGTACTCACTCACCATTGAGCCACACTGGCCAGGTGGCAACATTTTCCAATATTTTAAAACTCCTAGAATATTTTAATCTATATAATAAAAGCATAATATGCTAATTAAACCGGATGTTCTTCCGGACACGGCCACAGTGGGGGCCAAGGCAGCCACTGCAGTGGCAGGGGCCAAGCCCCTTGCACGAATTCCATGCATTGGGCCTCTAGTATATTTATAATTATTTACAATTTCACTTTAGTATCTGTTCTCTTCATCATACTCTGACTTTAAGAAGGTAGGACAGAGTTTCCTGGTACCATATAATGGACACTTAATACATCTTTAACTATCTGTAGACAAAAAAGAAATTCATACTCTCATTTAATATTTTTATGAGAAAATGAAGAATGGATTTTGTTTTTTTAATAAAACATTTTTGTAACCTATAATGTGCTTTATAACACCATTCTTTTATTGCCTTGATGTTGGTGGTTTGTGGCTCCATGTACTGTCTCTCCAACCCTAAACTAATTCTTTTCCTCCTCTGTCTCTCTTCCCTACTCTCTCCTCCTCTCCCCACCTCTCTCTTCTAACTTATGTAGGTAAAGGAGAAATACAGTGAATGGGTAGGGCAATAATAGATGTCACACCTACCATGACTAGAAGTAAAACCTCATCCAGAGGAGTTAGGAATCATTTTAGGAGTAAGAACATAATGGAAAAGCTATGGCATTATGCTCTTGCGGATCGGAGAGTGGTGCTTTGATTGTCGTACTGATCTCCCTCTGGCCCCAGTCTTAGCCCCTTTGCAATTTACAAAATGCAACTTTACATACATTTTCAAAAATTTGAAAAACAACTATACTATCCATAAAAGTATTTAGACTTTCAAAACACCTCAGATGAATAAGCTTTTAGCAAATCTATAACTTTAGGGCACTAAATAGTAGTCAATTACTGAACTTAAGAAATCTTGAACCAGTTAGTGTGTGATACACTGATACATTTAAGTGAATTTTTGGCTATAGGACTTGTCTATACAAATTAAATATTTACTCTTTAATGGGACTAAGGTAGTATAAATGCTGCTTTATTTACTGAGGCTATAAAACTCAACAATGTACAATCATTTGTGCATTGGTTCTCATACTTTATTTATTTATTTTTTTAAATATATTTTATTGATTTTTTACAGAGAGGAAGGGAGAGAGATAGAGAGTTAGAAACATCGATGAGAGAGAAACATCGATCAGCTGCCTCCTGCACATCTCCTATTGGGGAGGTGCCTGCAACCCAGGTACATGCCCTTGACCGGAATCGAACCTGGGACCCTTCAGTCCGCAGGCCGACGCTCTATCCACTGAGCCAAACCGGTTTCGGCGGTTCTCATACTTTAGTTTGCAAACAGTGTGATCCTGTGAAAGTGCAGATTCTGATTCAGTGGGTTTGGAGTGGGGCCTGAGACCCTGCATCTCTAACAAGCTCCCAGAGGATGCTAGTGCTGCTTGTCTGGGGATAACTCTCCGAGTAACAAGGGTGTAAAGAACAGAAACTATCCTGAACAGAATTAGCAAGGAGTATGTTTTGATTTTTCTGTTTAAATGGCTTCAGTTCTTTAAACAGAAACATTTTATACCAATTTATTAAATATTATTTAAACATATACTAAATATAATTTTATTTTTTTCATAATAAATCTTTTTAACTGGCAATATTAAACATTATTTAATAATATTACTTTGAATCGGGGAGGTTGATGCGAGAATTCTGGTCTCAGATGTGATGCTCCTTTAGCAATAGGCCCTCAGCGTGTTCTTCAATTCCCTTGAGCCTCAGTTTTTTCATCTGAAAAATAGAGGAATGGACCTCAGTTAGAGGTTTTCAAATAGTCACTTTCAGAAATCAGAGTTTAGTCTTCAGTCATCACTAGGGAAACCAAGCTGCATGATCTAGAGCAGGGGTGGGCAAACTTTGTGACTCGAGGGCCACAATGGGTTCTTAAACTGGACCGGAGGGCCGGAACAAAAGCATGGATGGAGTGTTTGTGTGAACTAATATAAATTCAAAGTAAACATCATGACATAAAAGGGTACGGTCTTTTTTTTTAGTTTTATTCATTTCAAACGGGCCGGATCCGGCCCGCGAGCCGTAGTTTGCCCACGGCTGATCTAGACCCACAGTATGAGAAGCAAAATCATTTTATAATGACTTGACTAACATCAGCACACTAATGCCAACCAACAGGAGAGGAAAACTTGTCTGTTTTATTTATTTGGCTGGTTTTGTTCTGTTTTGTTCCTTGTAAGCTTTTAGCTGGTTCTAAAGGTACTATTTTATTAGAAGCACAGTCTTTTATTCTAATGGATGTGTAAGGCGTTCTGCACATCTTCACACTGGTACCAGCCCTTCGCCATCTTTACAGTGATAAGCATTTAGTTGTCAGAAGTCACAGTGAATGTGGTGCCAGGAAGCCTAATACCAATTCAAAATGTATTTTTTTAATTTAGTTGTTTTAAACTTTGGTTTTCAGCATTTGCTTTCATACAAATAGTAAAAGAAACACTGTCTTCTCTTTAGAATCCAGTCAGTTGGAACAACAACTTGAAGAAGCTAATTCAGTGAGGCGAGAACTAGACGATGCTTTTAGACAAATCAAGGCTAATGAAAAACAAATCAAAACATTACAACAAGAAAGAGAAGAATTAAATAAGGTAAACAATACAGATAGGTTGTTCAAGGCTTTTCTGAATTCTCAATCTTGTTTAATTTGTATACTGAAAGCATTCATATTGAATTGTACTAATATATAGTAGATGTTATCTGTAAAAAGTTGGTTTAAAAATTTAGCAATTATTTTGGTGTATATCGTTTGATTAATGGCTGGTAATGAAAATCTTATATTCTTGAGGCTTTAAAATTCTTAATCTTTTTTTTTCTTTTGGAAAGTTACTAATCAACGGATTTGATTAAAAGTGAATGTTACTGAAAAAGAAATATGAAGAAATAAGAGAATAGTAAAATCAGTATAATGTCTGTGGAAAAATAAAAATATAGGCGCATTTTTATTATGACTTGCTAATACCAATGTTCCTAAAAGATTATAATGAAAATTTCTTTTTTTAAAAAAGAAAAATATATTTCTTTATTGATTTCAGAGAGGAAGGAAGAGGGAGAGAGAGATAGAAACATCAATGACGAGAGAGAATCATTGATCAGCTGCCTCCTGCACTCCCCCTACTGGGGATCGAGCCCGCAACCCAGGTATGTGCCGTTGGCCGGAATTGAACCTGGGACCCTTCAGTCCGCAGGCCGACACTCTATCCACTGAGCCAAACTGGCTAGGGCAGAAAATTTATTTAATGCTTTAAAAAAAATTTTAAATGTCAGTTTATCTTTCAAAGTGTAGATAAACTAAAGTTATTTTCATAAGGACTTGGTGTAACCCTTAAACAGTATTATAAACATCAACAAAATGTATTAATAGCTAGGACACTCTAACAGCCTAATAGGGTAAGTAATATTCAAGCTCTAGAGAAAAATACTTTACTTAAACCACGTTCTGTGGGAACTTTGCCTTTCATTGACTTATTTTTTTAAATATTAGAATTAATACTAGCCAATGCAAAAAAGAAATAAGTGGCCTATGATGTAGTAAAAATTGAATTCAGTGATGTAGTATATAATAATTGATTAATAGCTAGTAACGAAAAACTACTAAATTATTGTACATAATTATTATAATTATATATATTAGTTGCCCGTATGGGAGGCAACAAATCAGTGTGCCTCTCTCACATCAATGTTTCACTCTCTGTGTCTCTCTCTCCCACCTCCCTTCCATTCTCTCTTAAAAAATCAATGGAAAAAATATCCTCGGGTGAGGATTAACAAAACAAATATAATAACTACACGGCTCCCTGCGTGCCAGTTTGTTCTTCTGGGCCAGTGGTTCCCAAACTTATTTGGCCTACCGCCCCTTTTCCAGAAAAAATATTACGCAGCGCCCCCTGGAAATTAATTTTTTTTAAATGTTAATAGCAATTAAACAGAAAGATATATGTATTGTTTCTACCTTTTTCGTAAAATATAGTAAAGAAAGGTGTAAATTAGAAACATTGAAGTTTGAAATTATGAAACTATTGAACTCAGAATAGAAAGGTAATACAAAAAAAGTTAAAACACATGCACCTGTGGCCATCACCGCCCCCCCTGGATCGCTGCAGTGCCCACCAGGGGGCGGTAGCACCCACTTTGGGAATCACTGTTCTGGGCCAATGCAGTGATTGCTGGGTGGTTAAAGCCCTCCACACATACAGTCTGTGCTGTGGGTGAGGACCCCGGCCTGTGAGTCAGGGTTTGTGTACAGAGGAGAGAAGCAAACGCTTCCTGCTCCCCGTCTCCACCCACCCGTCTGAGCCTCTCCTTGGAAACCAAAGAGAAGGATCAGGACACTGGAATATAAACACTGTCCAGTGGGAAGCTGCCCAGAGTCCCCAGCTTCATAAAGAGGGTAGCTCCCTGGTCAGGCTCTTCACTGGAATGGAAATGCATGCATCCAGGGTTAAAGCTCTTTGGATTTCTCACTCTCTAAATTACTCATAAATTACTCTGAAAGGCTTGCTTATTTCCCAAGTTTAAGTCAGATTTGCTTAGAAAGGCTTAACTGTACAAAAGCATAAAAATATTTTCTCTATAGCCCCACGTTCTTTTTATCCACAAACATGCTGTATCTCTCCAGATCATTAAGTCTTTTTAAACGTTTTTCTGTAAATTTTTATACAGGTCCTGTTTGCTTTTCCTTAAATTTATTATTCTCTGTTTCTTCACATTTTAGGTAGTATCTTAAGAAATTACATGTTCTTATTGATAGTGTTGTAGCAATATTGCTTAACTGTTATTAATTGTAATAACATATTTGAGATTCTTTAAAGTCTTCTGCAAATAATGAAAGAAATTATTTAAAATTTTTAAATTTTTAAAAATTTTTTATGACTTTTCTTTCTTTCCTTGTCTTACTGTATTAGCTGGGACCTCTAGTACCATGCCGAATAGAAGTGGTACTAGCAGTCATTTCTGTCTTATTCCTGATTTCAAAGAAAATGCTTTTAATATTTCACCACTAATAATAATGTTTCTCTATGTTTTTGTTAACTCTTTTGTTCCTATTTTGCTAACCATTTTTATCAAAAATGAGTATTGATACGATTGTTCTCCTTTAGTAAATTGGTGTGCTGAATTATATTTACAGACTTTTTAAATATTAAACCACTTCTTCATTTGTGGGTTAAACAGAAATTATCCATGTATTAGCTTCTAAATAATAATATGATAGGTAACACAGCATGTCTTCTAATAGCACTGTTTTAAGTGCTTTATATATATTAGATCATTTAATCTTTGTAAGTGCCCTGTGATTTGGGTGATGGTATTATTATTCTCATTTTACAGATGGTAAGACTGAGCACAGAGAAGTACATTTGTTCAAGATTATAGTAGAGCTAGGAATTGGTAGAGCTGGAATTTCAACACAACTCTAATTCTAGAGTTTGTGTTTTTCACTTTATACATCATTAGAACTGATTTGCTAATGTATTTTTTTCTGAATTTTTAAAATTTGTTTTCATCAGTAAGATTATCTTGTAATTTTCTTCCTTATCTTTCTGGTCTTTCTTTAAAATACACACACACACACATACACACACACACACACTCTGAGTGGCCAGATTATTATGACCACCCCATCAGTACAATGAAGTGAATTAGTTATGCAAATAATAATAATAATAAAACCTTGAGAGTATTTGCTTAGGAAGTTTTGAATATTCAGTATTTTTGGAAGTGTCAATGAAGTACTATAATGATAGGGTGGTCATAATAATCTGGCCACATTAGTGATTTCAGAGAGCAAGGGAGTGGGAAAGATAGAGACATCAATGATGAGACGGAATCATTGATGGACTCCTCCTGCATGCCCCCTACTGGGGATCGAGCCCACAACCCAGGCATGTGCCCTGACTCGGAATCGAACTGTGTCCTCCTAGTGTATGGATCATCACTCAACCACTGAGTCATGCCAGCTGGGCTTTCTGGTCTTTTCTTTTTTCTTAAATATATTTTTATTGATTTCAGAGAGGAAGGGAGAGGGATAGAAACATCAGTGGTGAGAGAATCATTGATGAGTTGCCTCCTGCACACCCCCTACTGGGGATCGAGCCCGCAACCCAGGCCTGTGCCCTTGACTGGAATTGAACCTGAGATCCTTCAGTCGCAGGCCGATGCTCTATCCACTGAGCCAAGCCGGCTAGGGCTGGTCTTTCCTTGATATCAAGATTATACTGGTCCCTTAGAATGAATGAGGTAGCATTGCCTCTTTTTCTATTTTCTGAAATCGTTTGTTTAAGAGGAACATTTTGTACCTTTGAAACATTGGAGGATTCAATTGTAAAACCATGTGAGCTTGGAGATTCTCTTCTGCTGGATGGATGGGAGAACGTTTATTGATTTAGTTACTTTAATTGTTATAGGACTATTCAGGCATTTTATTTATTCTTGAAACCACTATTGATAAATTAAAATTTTATAGGCATTTGTTCATTTCATAAGGTAACAAAGTTTTTCATTGTGTTCTTTTATTTTTTTTTATCTCTCCTAGATTTGTAGTTATAACTGCTCTTAATTTTGGGGGGGGGTGAATTTATTCTTACTCCCTTATTTGATCTCATCAGATGTTTTTCTATTTGTTTTTTAAGGAACCAACTTTTGGTTTTGTTGATCTTCATTATTCTCACATTTCTGTTTTCATTAATTTATGCCCCTTATCTTCTCATATTTGGGGGAAAGGTTAATGTGTTATTTTTTCTTTAATGTGGAATTTCATTGCATTTCAAGCACCTTTTAATTTCAATATAAGTTATTTCAGGCTTACAACTTTTCTATTTTTATTGCCTCTTCAGGTTTTAGTATGTACTAAATATTTTTACTTGTTTGCATTTTTTATTATAGATACTTTAGTTCTTTTATGATTTTTCTTTTTGACCAATGAATTATTATGGAATTTAGCCTTTAATTTTTTTATCCTCACCCCAGGATATGTTTATTGATTTGAGAGAGAGACCAGAAAGATCAATTTGAGAGAGAAACATTGTTCGGTTGCCTCCCATATGCACCCTGACAAAGGATTGAATCTGCAACCTTTTGGTGTAAGGGACGATGCTCCAACCAATTGAGCCACCCAGCCAAGGCTAGCCTTTTAATTTTTTTATTTCTATTTTAATGGTGAAGTTATTAAAGGAACTTAATATTTATGATATATGTCCTTTTGAATCTGCTGAGACTTGCTTTATGGCCTAGGCCAGTAGTTGGCAAACTGCAGCTCGCGAGCCATATGCGGCTCTTTGGCCCGTTGAGTGTGGCTCTTCCACAAAATACCGACTTCTGCGCATGGGCCACGAAGTTTCGATCTCACTGTACGTGCGCGCCCACACGTGGTATTTTGTGGAAGAGCCACACTCAAGGGCCAAAGAGCCGCATGTGGCTCGCGAGCCGCAGTTTGCCAACCACGGGCTTAGGCTGTAACATTTTTAAATGTCCAGTATTTGCTGGAGAAGAATGTGTGTTCCCCAGTAGTGGGTGCACACTTCTGTATATGAAGCTTGTTAATTGAGCTTTTCAAGTCTTTTTTATGTGCGTAGATATCCATTAAATATCACAAAATCTCTATTTTGACCATTACATCTTATATTCCTACCCTCTTTAGTTATTTGTAGGAACCAGGGTATTAGAAGGCTAAATCTGCTGTTCCTTTGAAGTTAGCATTTTAGCATAAAGAATTGAGAATATGAACAGAGTGCCATGCTCTGAATATCTGCTCAAAAGTAATTCATTTCATTTTATCCTAAGGTGAATAATTTTGGCTCTTCTTGATTTCATTATAGCAACTTTGATGGCCAAATTTGGTTCATAGGTTGCAGAATTGGTAACTTATATTCTTTTTACAAAACTGTAGGAACTAGTCCAGGCTAGTGAGCGATTAAAAAACCAATCCAAAGAGCTGAAAGACGCACACTGTCAGAGGAAACTGGCCATGCAGGAATTCATGGAGATCAATGAGCGGCTAACAGAATTGCACACCCAGAAACAGAAACTTGCTCGCCATGTCCGAGATAAGGAAGAAGAGGTGGACCTGGTGATGCAAAAAGTTGAAAGCTTAAGGCAAGAACTGCGCAGAACAGAAAGAGCCAAAAAAGAGGTTAGTAGTCAGGCAAAGTTTGTAGTGTCCACGCGGTAGTGCTTAAAGCTGCCTTTTCAGACTAGTGAAATGATATTGACTTCATTCTCGAACTTTTCAAAAAGGTTATTTTTTAGTTTGGTAATATTATTTAATATGAATTTCAACATTTGAGTTATCTTCCTGTTACAAGGTAAATTCCCCTGGGGAAAAACCATTTTCTTGGACATACAGTTAGAACCTTGAATCTGCTTTTTTTCATTGTATGTTAAAGCTGGAAGTTCATACAGAAGCTGTAGCTGCCGAAGCGTCTAAAGACAGGAAGCTGCGTGAACAGAGCGAACACTACTCTAAGCAACTGGAAAACGAACTGGAGGGACTGAAGGTAGCGTTTGCGTTCACACTTGTGAAGCTCGGTTTTCTCCCCTGTGGGCTTCAGAGGAGTGTTAGTGATGTGCTCTCTCTGGTGGGAGCAAAAGTTAGCTCTCCTTCCAACCTCGGATCCTAATTCCCATGTTTACCAGTCGGAAGCTGATAACGACTTCCTAATCGTGGTGGAAGGCAGTGAAGACTGTGTTTAGCGGGAAGAAATAATCTGCCAGGAGAGAGTTAAAATATTTATGCAGGGCTGCCTCCCTGGACAAGACCCACTGGTCACTTGCATGGGAGGCTTGGCTAGGTCTCCACCCTTTTCTCTTGGTAGTGGCCTGGTGTGGCTCGCAGGAAGCTTTGCAGACACTTCTGTTAGGTGCGATGGATCATCTGGGGATGGGCTAACGCATCTCCTTATTACTGAGAGTACATTTCAACCAAATTTCTAAAAAGGTGGCTTTCAGTCAAATTTCTTCTCCTAAATGCCCAACCTAAATGCAGAGACCTATCATTTTTCCTAGAGTGACTATGAAGACATTATTTTAGACCTCGTCACTTCTCCCCGGACACTGTAGAAGTCCCCTCTCTTTTCATTTTGTACATTCTAGCTCTACCGTCCCCTCCCTCAATTTAATCTTTTAAAAACACAAACATATTTATTAACCTTTTATTGGTTCCACATCAGAAACAAGATGCTGGTAGTTTTTTTTTCTTATTCCATACACCAACAATATTTGTGTATAAAACTAAAACTTTAAGTGTGAAACAAATAATTATGTAAGTACCAGCAGAAAATACAGGTATGTAATCTTGTTGTGAAGAAGACTGTAAGATACACAATAATAAAGGATTGTACAAAGAAAAATATTGTAAAGTGGCAGATAGGAGATTAATAGCCTTTAATAAAGAATTATTTTATGTGATAATATAAAAATACTATTAAAGCTATATGAATAGTTTTTTTTAGTGTAGAAATAAGTTATTTAATATGTTATTCTTATATATAAACTAATCTTTTATTTTTTTTATAGCAAAAACAAATTAGTTACTCACCAGGAGTGTATAGCATAGAACATCAGCAAGAGATAACTAAACTAAAGACAGATTTGGAAAAGAAAAGTATCTTTTATGAAGAAGAATTATCCAAAAGAGAAGGAATACATGCAAATGAAATTAAAAATCTAAAGAAAGAATTACATGACTCAGAAGGCCAGCAACTTGCTCTGAACAAAGAAATTATGATTTTGAAAGACAAATTGGAAAAAAACAGGAGAGAAAGGTAAGAATCTAATTATTTACTCCTCTAATAATTACTTACTGAATGCCTGGCATGTGCCCGGACTGGAGCTCTGCAGGCAATACACATGCTCCATGCTCAAGAGGACAAAGTCCAGACTGGTAAATAGAAAGTCACAGGACAGCACAATAGGAAAGCAAGTGGGGTGTGTGGAGGAGCATCCCCCACAGGAGAGGCACAGATCACTTCAGTACCTCTAAGTTTTTTGGACAAAATGATTTCTAGGTTAAGGCCAAAGAAAGATATAGCTGTAGAAGAGTGTCCAAGCAGAGGCAGCAGCATGTGCTGGAATCTAGAGGAGAAGGGGCACATTCAGAAAATGAAAGCTGTTTGTTGTGAAAACATGAAAAGGAAGGTGAGAGTGGTGAGAAATGCTGCTAGAAAGGAAAATAGAGGCAAGCTCATGATGGAGTGTAAGTTACTTGGACTTTATTCAAAGGCCAGGACAATTATGTGATTGTTATTTATATTTTCAAGCAATTGCTCTTGCACCTGTGTGGAGAATGGGTTGGAGGAGCAGACAGCAGATAGGAGCCTAGCTGTGAGAGACGAGGTTGCTGGACCTTAGGCAGTGAAGTGAAGATGGAGAGAAGTAGACAGAACTTAGAGGACATAATGACCAGAGGTGAGAAATGAGGAACAGGAGACTTTATCGGTGGTACTCTGGTGTCTAGATTTTAGGCAACTAAGTGTAGTTATTATTCTCAATTTATATTAGAAACCTGAATCCCAGCAACAACACAGCACTGGTAACTCTTACGCAGCCAGCTCTGGGCAGTAAACTTCCACTGGACAGAGAGGCCCTGTAGCCTCAGAGGCCAACCCCAGAACACTGCCACCCAGAGGCTGACCCACAAACTGACTCTTTGCTAAACACAAAATAAGGCAGTCTGGGAAACAAATGTGGCTTGCTTTAAAATAAGGACTGTGGTTTACAACACAGAGGAACAGTGTATCGCAGGGAAGCTCAACACTCTCCTAAATACCTGGCAGGTCTAAGGCGAGCCACACTGAAGAATAGAAGAACCGAAGGACCTTCACTACTGCAATATTTTTTTTTCTTTTTTCACCTTTTAACTAAGAAACCAATTTTTTTTCTTTTTTTTTCTTTTTTTTTCTTTTCTTCTTCTTCTTCTTCTTCTTCTTTTTTTTCTTCTTTTTTCTATCACCTGATTTTACCCTTTTAATTACTACCTTCTTATTTTTAACCAGTATTATTACTGCTACCATTTTACCATTTCTTTTTAAAGTGCCATTTTATTTTCTCTTTATTTTATTTTGGGATTAGTGTTCTCCATTCTATTTTCATCGTTATATTATTGGTTGTTTCTAGTTTGCATTCATCTCCAGGGAGCTGTTGCTGGAATTTGTTGGGATTAATTGCTGTTCTATAGGAGTATTCTCCTCATATAAAAAAGTCTCTTCCCCTCTTCCACTTCATTCTCTCTTTTCGCTCTTTTTTTTCTTTTCCTTTCTTTTCTCGCTTTTACTTTCCCCCCTCCTTTTTCCCAATTTCATTTTTGCACTCCTTTTTTTGGTCCCTATTTTTCTTTTCTTTTTTCTCTTTTCTCTTTTTCTCTTCCTTCTTCCTTATCCCCTAATTCTCTTAATTCAGGTGGTCACCTTTATTTGGGGTTATTAATATCGTGAATATATTTGTGTATAGTGCCTGGTACGTGGTGCCTTGTTGTGTTGTATTTTGTGCCTTTAAATCAACACAGCAGATCCAAGCAACACCAACCTACTGAGCACCACACCCTCTGCTGAGGAACAGCAGCTGTACGTGAAACCTCGCCCCACCAGCCAGAAGAGCCACCACAGCTGTGAACAGCACCCACCAGAGGAGTTGCTGCCAACTGAAGAGCATCTGCTACGGCAACCGCCCGAAGAGCAACCACAGACCAAGGAGTCACAGCCACCAAGGGAGCAGCCACTGAACGACTCAACGTCTAGATATGTCAGTGAGATCAAACATGGGTAGACAAAGAAACCCCCAAAGGAAAGAGAAGGAGGACTCTCCAGAAAAGCAGCTAAGTAATACAGAGGCATGCAACATGACAGAAAAAGAATTCAGAATAAGGGTCCTAGAGTGCATAAACCGGATGGAGGAAAAAATCGACAACCTCTCCAAGAAGCAAGAAGAAACAGATGAAAAAATCGATAACATATGGAAGAAGCTAGAAGAAACAGATGAAAAAATCAACAACTTAAGTAAGACCCAAGAAGAAATGAAGAGTGATATAGCTGCAATGAAAAACTCCATTGAAAGTATCAACAGTAGACTAGGAGAAGCGGAGGACCGAATTAGTGATTTAGAAGACAAGGAAGCAAAACACACCCAAAACGTACTGCAATTGGAGAAAAAAATGAAAAGACAGGAGGAGAGCCTAAGGGAGCTTTGGGACAACATGAAACGAAACAACATACGAATAATAGGGGTACCAGAACAACAGAAGGATGAACAAGGATTAGAAAACCTATTAGAAGAAATAATATCAGAAAACTTCCCTGAGGTGGGGAAGAAAAAAGTCATACAAGCCCAGAGAGTCCCAAACAAGGTGAACCCAAAAAGACCCACACCAAGACACATCATAATTACCATGGCAAATGTTCAGGACAAAGAGAGAATCTTACAGGCTGCAAGAGAGAGACGGAAAGTTACATACAAGGGATCTCCCATTAGATTGTCAAATGATTTCTCAACAGAAACACATCAGGCCAGAAAAGAATGGACGGAAATTTACAAAGTGATGCAAAGCAAAGGACTGAATCCAAGAATACTCTATCCAGCAAGGCTATCTTTCAAACTTGAAGGGGAAATAAGAAGCTTCACAGACAAAAAAAGGCTAAGGGAGTTTATCACCACCAAGCCAGCAATGCAAGGAATGCTAAAGGGACTGGTATAAAAATAAGAAATAAAAAGCTCAGAAAGAAAACAGCCACACAAAAACAGAAATGGCTACAAACAAGTACCTTTCAATAATAACTTTAAACGTAAATGGACTAAATGCTCCAAACAAAAGACATCGAGTGGCTGAATGGATAAAAAAACATGACCCATACATCTGCTGTCTACAAGAAACCCACCTCATTAGAAGGGACTCACACAGACTGAAAGTGAAAGGATGGAAAAATATCTTTCAGGCAAATGGAAAGGAAAAGAAAGCTGGGGTAGCAATACTTATATCGGACAAAATAGACCTCAAAGTGAAGGCCATAACAAGAGATAAGGAAGGCCACTTCATAATACTAAAGGGATCAATACAACAAGAAGATATAATCCTGGTAAACATATATGCACCCAATGCAGGAGCACCCAAATTCATAAAAAAACTCCTGGAAGATATCAAAGGAGACATCGACAACAATACAATCATAGTAGGGGACTTTAATACACCACTGACAGCACTGGATAAGTCCTCTAGACAAATAATCAGCAAAGATACAGCAATCCTAAATGACTCACTAGATCAGATGGACTTAATAGACATCTTCAGAACACTTCACCCGAAAGCCAGGGAATATACATTCTACTCAAATGCTCATAGGACATATTCAAAAATAGACCATATATTGGGTCACAAGCAAAGTATCCCCAAATTCAAGAAAATTGAAATCATAAAAAGCGTCTTCGCAGACCACGATGGCATAATATTAGAAATAAACTACAATAAAAACAACCCAAAATACTCAAACACCTGGAAGCTGAATAGCATGCTATTAAATATTGATTGGGTTACCAATGAAATCAAAGAAGAAATTCGAAACATCCTGGAAACTAATGACAATGAAAACACAACAATCCAAAACCTATGGGACACAATGAAAGCAGTCCTGAGAGGGAAGTTTATAGCTCTACAGGCCTATCTCAACAAACAAGAAAAAATGGTAGTAAATCATCTAACTCTACAACTCAAAGAATTAGAAAGAGAGCAACAAGAAAACCCCAGAGTGAGCAGAAGGAAGGAGATAATAAAGATTAGAGCAGAAATAAATGACATAGAGACCAAAAAAACAATACAGAAAATCAATGAAACCAAGAGCTGGTTCTTTGAAAGGATAAACAAGATTGACAAACCTCTAGCCAGACTCACCAAGAAGCAAAGAGAGAGGACCCAAATAAACAAAATCAGAAACGATAGAGGCGAAATAACAACAGACCCCACAGAAATACAAATGATTGTTAAAAAATACTATGGACAGCTCTACTCCAACAAACTAGACAACCTGGAGGAAATGGACAAATTCCTAGAAAAATACAACATTCCAAAACTCAATCAGGAAGAATCTAAAAATCTCAACAGGCCAATAACTATGGAAGAAATTGAAGCAGTCATCAAAAAGCTTCCAGCAAACAAAAGCCCAGGACCAGACGGCTTCACAGGGGAGTTTTACCAAACATTCAAGGAAGAACTAAAACCTATCCTCCTCAGACTACTACAAAAAATTCAAGAGGAAGGAACACTTCCAAGCTCATTCTATGAAGCCAGCATCACCCTAATACCAAAACCAGGTAAAGACAACACAATGAAAGAGAATTACTGGCCAATATCCCTCATGAACATAGATGCCAAAATCCTCAACAAAATCTTAGCAAATCGGATCCAGCAGTACATCAGAAAGATCATACACCATGACCAAGTAGGATTTATCCCAGGGATGCAAGGATGGTACAATATCCGCAAATCAATAAACGTGATACATCACATAAACAAATTGAAAGAAAAAAACCACATGGTCATATCAATTGATGCAGAAAAAGCATTTGACAAAATTCAACACCCATTTTTGATAAAAGCTCTCAGCAAGGTGGGAGTAGAAGGATCATACCTCAACATAATAAAAGCCATATATGACAGGCCCACAGCCAACATCATACTCAATGGACAAAAACTAACACCGTTTCCCCTAAGAACAGGAACAAGACAGGGATGCCCACTCTCACCACTCCTGTTCAACATAGTACTGGAAGTGTTAGCCATTGCAATTCGGCAAGAAGAAGAAATAAAAGGCATCCAAATTGGAAAAGAGGAAGTAAAACTGTCCTTATTTGCAGACGACATGATATTATACATACAAAACCCTAGAGACTCCATCAAAAAGCTACTGGACTTAATACATGAATTTGGCAATGTAGCAGGATACAAAATTAACCCCAAGAAATCCGAGGCATTTCTATACACCAATAGTGAACTTTCAGAAAGAGAGATTATAAAAACAATCCCGTTTACCATCGCACCAAAAAAATTAAGCTACCTAGGAATAAACTTAACTAAAGAGGTAAAAGACCTCTACTCAGAAAACTACAGGACGTTGAAAAAAGATATAGAGGAAGACATAAACAGATGGAAGAACATACCGTGTTCATGGATTGGTAGAATCAACATCATTAAAATGTCCATACTACCCAAAGCAATCTATAAATTCAACGCACTTCCCATTAAAATACCAACGGCATACTTCAGAGATCTAGAACGAACTCTCCAAAAATTCATCTGGAATAAAAAAAGACCTCGAATAGCTGCAGCAATCCTGAAAAAGACCAAAGTAGGTGGGATCTCAATACCAGATATCAAGATGTATTACAAAGCCACTGTTCTCAAAACTGCCTGGTACTGGCACAAGAATAGGCATATAGATCAATGGAATAGAATAGAGAGCCCAGAAATCGGCCCGAACCAATATGCTCAATTAATATTTGACAAAGGAGGCAAGAACATACAATGGAGCCAAGATAGTCTCTTCAATAAATGGTGCTGGGAAAATTGGACAGATATATGCAAGAAAATGAAACTAGACCACCAACTTACACCATACACAAAAATAAACTCAAAATGGATAAAGGACTTAAATGTACGACAGGAAACCATAAAAATTCTAGAAGAATCCAAAGGCAACAAAATCTCAGACATATGCCGAAGCAATTTCTTCACTGATACAGCTCCTAGGGCACTTGAAACGAAAGAGAAAATGAACAAATGGGACTACATCAAAATAAAAAGCTTCTGCGCAGCAAAAGAAACCATCAACAAAACAACGAGAAAACCCACTGTGTGGGAAAACATATTTGCCAATGTCATATCTGATAAGGGCCTAATCTCCAAAATTTATAGGGAACTCATACAACTTAACAAAAGGATGATAAACAATCCAATAAAAAAATGGGCAAAGGACCTAAATAGACACCTTTCAAAAGAGGACATTCAGAAAGCCAAGAGACATATGAAAACATGCTCAAAGTCACTAATCATCCGAGAGATGCAAATCAAAACAACAATGAGGTACCATCTCACACCTGTCAGACTGGCTATCATCAACAAATCAACAAATGACAAGTGCTGGAGAGGATGTGGAGAAAAAGGAACACTTGTGCACTGCTGGTGGGAATGCAGACTGGTGCAGCCACTATGGAAGACAGTATGGAGTTTCCTTAAAAAACTGAAAATGGAACTCCCATTTGACCCTGTGATCCCACTTCTAGGAATATATCCCAAGAAACCAGAAACACCAATCAGAAAGGATATATGCACCCCTATGTTCATAGCAGCACAATTCACCATAGCTAAGATCTGGAAACAGCCTAAGTGCCCATCAGTAGATGAATGGATTAGAAAACTGTGGTACATCTACACGATGGAATACTATGCTGCTCTAAAAAGGAAGGAACTCTTACCATTTGCAACGTCATGGATGGAACTGGAGAGCATTATGCTAAGTGAAATAAGCCAGTCAATGAAGGAAAAATACCACATGATCTCACTCATTCATGGATAATAGAGACCATTATAAACTTTTGAACAATAATAGATACAGAGGCAGAGCTGCCTCAAACAGATTGTCAAACTGCAGCAGGAAGGCCGGGGAGGGTTGCGGGGCAGGAGGTAGGGGGGTAAGAGATCAACTAAAGGACTTGTATGCATGCATAGAAGCATAACCAGTGGACATAAGACATTGGGGGATAGGGGAGGCTAGGGGACTGTCTAGGGCGGGGGGATAAAATGGACACATATGTAATACCCTTTGTAATACTTTAAGCAATAAAAAAAATAAATAAAAAAAAAATAATATCAATCCCCCCCCCCAAAAAAAAAAAAAAAAAAAAGACCGTACCCTTTTATGTAAAAAAAAAAAAAAAAAAAAAAAAGAAACCTAAGTTTATTCATTTTGGTACATTCATTCAACAGAAGTGTTTTATTTTTTATTTATTTTTATTATTATTTTTGGGGGGTAAAACATTTTTTTTATTAAACCTTTATTGTTCAGATTATTACAGTTGTTCCTCTTTTTTCCTCCCATAGCTCCCCTCCACCCGGTTCCCACCCCACCCTCTGCCCTTACGTCCCCCCACTGTCCTCATCCATAGGTGCACGATCTTTGTCCATCTCTTCCCGCATCCCCCACACCCCTTTCCTCCCCCAAGAATAGTAAGTCCACTCCCTTTCTATGCCCCTGATTCTGTTATAATCACCAGTTCATTCTGTTCATCAGATTATTTATAAACTTGATTCTTAGATTCACTTGTTGATAGATGTGTATTTGTTGTTCATAATTTGTATCTTTACCTTTTTCTTCTTCTTCCTCTTCTTAAAGGATACCTTTCAGCATTTCATATAATCCTGGTTTGGTGGTGATGAACTCCTTTTCCTTATCTGTGAAGCTCTTTATCTGACCTTCAATTCTGAATGATAGCTTTGCTGGATAAAGTAATCTTGGTTGTAGGTTCTTGGCATTCATCACTTTGAATATTTCTTGCCACTCCCTTCTGGCCTGCAAAGTTTCTGTTGAAAAATCAGCTGACAGTCGTATGGGTATTCCCTTGTAGGTAACTGATTTTCTTTCTCTTGCTGCTTTTAAGATTCTCTCTTTGTCTTTTGCTCTTGGCATTTTAATTATGATGTGTCTTGGTGTGGTCCTCTTTGGATTCCTTTTGTTTGGGGTTCTCTGCGCTTCCTGGACCTGTAAGTCTATTTCTTTGACCAGGTAGGGGAGTTTTCTGTCATTATTTCTTCAAATATGTTTTCAATATCTTGGTCTCTCTCATCTTCTGGCACCCCTATAATTCTGATGTTGGTGCGCTTGAAGCTGTCCCAGAGGCTCCTTACACTATCATTGTATTTTTGGATTCTTTTTTCATTTTGCTTTTCTGGTTGGGTGTTTTTTGCTTCTTCGCATTTCAAATCTTTGCCTTGATTCTTGCGCTCCTCTGGTCTGCTGTTGGGAGTCTGTATAATATTCGTTATTTCAGTCCGTGTATGCTTAATTTCTAGTTGGTTCTTTATCACAACATCGAGGGTCTCATTAGATTTCTTGAGGATCTCAATAACTTTATCGGCGGCTTCTAGACAGTTCTTGAGAGACCTTAAAAGTGTGGTTTTGAACTCAATATCCTCCATTGACAGTTTTGTCCTGTTTCTTTGTCTCCGCATTTTTTATGCTTTCTTGGTGCACCCCCTTGTGGTCTTTGTGCGCAGTCTTGTTGTAGTTAAGCCTTGATTGTTGTAGTTAATACTAGGGGGATTTGACCTCCAGGCCAACTGGCTGTGAGAATCAGCTGTGTCTGCAGTGGGAAAACTTCTGTCCTCTAGGGAGGTGCTAATCTAGCCTTTGCCTGAGGCTATCTGGCAAATGGCTCTGTGCAGGGCTTGGGCGGGGCAGGTCGCACGGGATCAAACAGGGCTGGTGGAGGGAGCAGTTATGGCTGCTCTCAGTCCCGTCCCCAGAGGCTCTGCCTCTCAGAGTCCCAACAACCACTGCAAACCTCGGAGAGAGAGCTGCCCTCGCGTTCCTACCGATGCCAGACAGTCCCGCTTCTCCCATTTGAGTCTGGGTCCCTAGAGACTCGCCCAGAACTGGAGCTCAGAATCTGAGATTCCCTCCCGATTGAAAACGACAACCGTGCCCTCAGCTACCAGCCCGCTCCGCACGTACCTCGGCACCTTTGTATTTTCCGCACTGCGCCTCCTCTGAGCCTCGTATGCTCTTCTCTTTCCTTCTAGTTGAAGAATTTCCCCTCAGCCAGTCTTCCTGTGGTTCTGGGCGATGTCCGTTCTGTCTTTTAGTTGTATTTGTGAAGTGGTTGTTCGAGGCAGCTAACTCCGGTGTTTACCTATGCCGCCATCTTGGTTTTCTCCCAAATATTCTTAAATATAACAGATTCACATTATGACTATAGATAATAAGGAAAGTGGTATATTTGCTTGGATACAGGATGGTTTATTTTCCTGGAATTTATCATTTAAATTGTTATTTAGTCCATTTTAGTAATTTAGTAGTGCAAGGGATTTTTAAAAAATTACTTAAAAAATTTTTTAAAGGGATTACATTTTAAAAATCAAAATTATGTTCCTTGTTGAATCATAATAAAATTACCCAGAACTGATCCACATTGAATTTTATTTGCTGTTACTAACATCCTCCATCAAACTGCTGTAGATAAGCTTCTTAACATTTCTGCATCTTGTTATGTAAAAACTGATTCTCCTTTCTCCCTTATGAGGTTTTTAAAAGTCAGTTAGAACTGTGTTTACTTCTAAGGGGAATTACAGTTCTGCCCCCAGAACTATAATTTAAAGTAAACTTTATAATATTAAATTTGAGTATGCTGTATGTATATATGTGTATGCAGGTAGGTACTTAGATTAAGAAGGAAAGAAGGAAGTGAACACAATCCAGGAATCTACTAATCACAGATCTCTTCCTCAATTTTCAATTGAAAAACAAAGTAGATGCTATTAAGCAGACAAATCCATTTGTTATTTAAAAGGCAGTGATTGTGATTTTTAACTTTAAGGAAAAAGATTGGGATTTGGAATAGTCAAGATCTAAGTGACTTTCCAGGATAAAACGTATGGTGCAATAGCCCATCTGGGACACCATAATTTGACCTTTAATTCTATTCCTTTTTTTTTTCTTTTTTTCTTTTTTAATTGTGTTAGTCAAAGTGAAAGGGAAGAATTTGAAAATGAGTTCAAACAACAGTATGAACGAGAAAAGGTGTTATTAACTGAAGAAAATAAAAAACTGACAAGTGAACTTGATAAGGTGAGTGAGTGATCTCATTTGCATTCACTGAGCACATTTACATTCTGTCAGTGCTGTAATAGAAACTGTGGGTATAATTTTGTATTTGGTGTACATTTTGTTTATTATTCCTCCTTATATGCAAGGATGGCTTATTAGCACAGGCGTTTCCTTGTTGTACCAATCTGTACAGCAGTCTTCTGGAGAGAGGACATCTCATCTTATGCTTTGTCCCATTTATGTGTTTGTTTGTTTTAATATTTTTATTGATTTTAGAGAGGAAGGGAGAGGGAGCGAGAGATGGAAACATCAATGATGAGAGTCATTGATCAGCTGCGTCCTGCACGCCACACATTAGGGATTGAGCCCGCAACCCGGGCCTGTGCCCTGACCAGGAATGGAACTGTGACCTCCTGGTCCATAGGTCAGCACTCAATCACTGAGCCATGGCAGCCAGCCCCATGTATGTTGTTGAGTCTCTGTTCTTTACTGCACTTCCCATCTGTTCTCTTTTCTTATTCTGTACCTAATATTCATCACTGACCTCTGTCATGGCTAAGTTAAGGCTGGCCTTTAGTAAGAGCAGGAACAGTTAGTTCAAACTGGAGAAGTTTTGACAACTATAATATACTAGAGACCTGGTGCATGAATTTGTGAAGGGGTGGGATCCCTAGGCCTGGCCGGTGACCGGGTCCCATCAGGGCTGTCTCACCCAGTCCTGATCAGGCTGATCAGGGCCCAGCCAGCCACGGGGAGGGACTGTGGGAGGTAGGCCAGCCACGGGAGGTTGACTGTGGAAGCTCACTGACCACCAGGGGGCAGCTCCTGTGTTGATCGTCTGCCCCCTGGTGGTCAGAGCACGTCATAGTGACCAGTCGGAATTGTCACTTAGCCTTTTATATGTATAGATTCATGATGGAGGATTGACAATAGCTAGAAATAATAGTGTTGGTCCGTAAAAATCCAAAGAAGCCAACTCTGCCTAAACTCGATACCTTGAACAAAGAGCCAGAACCATAGGTTAAGCTTGTAAGTAGCCAGGTCAATGAACAGAATTTCAAATGCTTGAAGGAATGTTTCCCCATTTAGTGTATCAGATATTTGAAATGGCCATCATCCTGTATTTCTTGTGCCAGCAGCTCTTAACAAACAGTCGTAAAAATCCTAATATTAACCAGAATCTTTAATGCCTATATGTACATTTAAATAGGGTTTGGGTAATTGTGCTTTATAGTGATTTTCCTCCAATAAAAGTATCATGTTCAGTTGCTAGTAATTCCAATAAAAGACTGGAAGACTCTCCATTCTTTCTGTTTCCCATTGTGTTCCATATATATTTTCATTTTTTCTCAATACTTTCCCCAGGATTATTTCATTTTCTAAGCACTTAAATTTGACTTTGCTCGCCCTGGCTAATGAGTTGATAGGTTGGTTGGGCGTCGTCCTGTGCACCAAAAGGTTGCTAATTTGATTCCAAGTTAGGACATATGCCCAGGTTTCAGGCTCAATCCATGGTGGGAGATGTGAGGAGGCAGCCGATCGATTTTTCACTTCACATTGATGTTTCTCTCTCTCCCTCTCTCTCTCAAAAAATCAATAAAGATAAAGTTTTTAAAAAAATTTACTTTGCTTGTTTGGTTGAAAGCTACTTAAGAAAGAACTGGTAGTTCATTTTGTCAAGTTTTATAGAGCTGATGTGCACAAGCACTGGAAAATGGCCCAAGAAGTACAAATGAATTTTAAACTGAATAATGTTATATATATATAATGTAACAGTTATTTCTGCTATAATAAGACTAAGTCACATAATTGTTATTTCATATGTTTGACTAATACAACTACAAAATTAAAACATCATTTCTTTATTTGTGATGAAAGATGAGTAGCATGTTGAGAGCAAATTCATATGGTAGGTGAGCATTTAATGATGAGTGATACCAAGGAAATATTTAGTCCTGCAGAAATAAGGAAGGATTTGGGGTTTTTCTTTTTAACTTCTCCACTTTTGCTCCTTTTATTCAGCTTTAGCTTCTTCTTCTGTTTAACTCTCAGCCCACCTAACTGTACATCTTCACTGTTTCTGTCCATGTCTTCATTTTCTGGTTTGGTGTGAGTTGAGTGTTTCTCCATGAGGGGTAACTAAAGAATACCTTTGCCGCTGCTGCCCCAGCTGTTCTGGCGGAACCGCCTGAAGAGAAGTGAATTTCCTCTTCACAGTAGTTTAGGCCCCAAATGTGCCAACATGGTGGCACCCGGGTCTTAATCCAGAAAATGTGACCAAGACTAACTCGGTTCTCGGTTCCGCGAGGGCAGGCCTGGTGGGCACAGGCTGCTTGCGGATGTCCCTTATGAGGATGTCCCAGACGAGGATCGTTCTGCGGCCCAGCCTGAATCTCCGCTCCGCTGGTGGGCTCTGTAGTGCTCGGTTTATGGAGGGCAGCCCCAAGGGCCGGCAAATCCACCCGCAGTGGAGAATGGCACGGTGCCCCGCGGCGAAAAGCGCCCACCTGAAACCCAGGAGACGCGGTCACCGAGGGGTCCTCCAAGATTGCCTGCCCAGTGCCAATGAGTCTTCTACAACCCAGTGCAGGAGTGCAGCCGGGATCTGGCATGTGCTGTGATCACTGAGTTTGCTTGCATTCATCTTGGGGCCAAAGGAATCCAGATCAAGGTGCCAGGTGAAAAGGAGGTGCAGAAGGTGGTGGTGGGCTTGTCGGAGCAAGGGGAGCACAAGGCTGTATTGAAAGAGGGGGCAGACCCGGCCCCTGGACACCAGTCTCCAACAGCCACTGTGGGGAGATCTGTGAGGAAGGCCTGCGAGTGCGGGAGGGCCTGGTAGCCTCGGGTCTTCGTTTCATTCGCTTTGCCCGAGAGGTGCCTGGACTCCGATCCGCGGTTGCCAACGATGCCTCTGCCCGCGCTGTGGATCTCACCCGCCATAATGTGCAGCTAGCGAAGTGGCCCACCTGGTACAGCCCAGCCAGGCAGATGCCCGGATGCTGACGCACCAGCACCGGCGGGTGTCGGATCGGTTTTATGTGGCAGCCCTGCTCCTTTCCTGGATGCAGCTGTGCAGGCTGTGAGTGAAGGAGGACATGGCAGTGCTGGCGGGAACAGCAGGGAGACGCTACAGCAGGTACGAGGCCATGGCCCTCCAGAGCCGGGCCTGCCACGAGATGGCCCTGAGGATCGTCCTGCACAGCCTGGACCTCCGTGCTCACTGCTGTCAGCGCTTCGTGGTGCCACTGCTCAGCGTCAGTGCTGATTTCTAGACACGTGTTTTTTTCGTGTCTTCACCAGCCAGGCCAAGGTCAAGGCTTCAACCAGCAGTGGGCTCTGGTGTTCCCTGTGTGGGCGCCTTGGCAAAGCATCAGGGGCCTCTGGTGGCCAGGTCAAGTTCTCTGCAGCCTGCGGTCCCCCTGCGGCCCCTGAGTGTGAGCAGCGGCACCAGCTCGGTGACTCCGTATGGGTGGAGCCCATCCATGACCTGGATTTTGTGGGCCGTGTCCTAGAGGCCATGAGCACCAACCCCGGCCGGTTCCATACTTCAGAGCGGATCCGAGGAGTCCTGAGCGTCGTCACCGAGGAGCTGCTGGACATGCCTCTGTGCTATACGCTGGACCAGCTGAGCAGCACCATCCACTGTAGCACACCCAGCCTCCTGCAGCTGTGATCAGCCCTCCTCCATGCTGGCTTCCGGGTCTCGCTCTCCACACCTGTAAGAATGCTGTGAAGACGGACGCCCCCGCCTCAGCCCTCCTCCATGCTGGCTTCCAGGTCTCGCTCTCCACACCTGTAAGAATGCTGTGAAGACGGACGCCCCCGCCTCAGCCCTCTGGGACATCATGCACTGCTGGGAGAAGGAGTGCCCAGTGAAACGAGAGCGGCCATCTGAGACCAGCCCGGCCTCCCGCATTCTCAGTGTGGAGCCCAGGCTACAGGCCAACTTCACCATCAGGATGATGCCAACCCCAGCTCCCGCCAGCGAGGACTCGGGCACTTCCAGGCCAACCCCGAGGCCAACTGGGGCCCACGGCCCCATGCCCAGCCAGGGGTAAGGCAGTGGGCAAAGCTATGGAGGACAGAGGCAGATTGCTCCAGAATAAGAGAAGGGAACCAGCTGAGGATCTGGCCCAGTGGGCTGCCCGGCTTAAGACATTTCCTTGCAAGAAATTTAAGAAGGGCACCTGTCAATGGGGGGACCAGTGCTGTCACTCACACAGATCCCTGACCCCCAAGGCCACTGCTGAAGCTGTCCCCACTGACTGCCCACAGACCCCCAACCAGAAGCCCCCTGGGTCTGGGGCCACCACTGGTCCAGGTGTAGATTGAGCCAATAAAGAGATTTCACCTTGAAAAAAACACACACACACACACACACACACACACAAAAACACCAGTATTTTAGATATAGAAGCCAAAAAGCAATTATTATGTTAATCTTGAAACTTAAATAACTTTTATAACTAATACATTTTCACATTTACATTTTTAAACTCCAAAAATAAAAAGAAAGTAGAAAAAAAGTTTATTTCCAGAAGTCTGCAAGTTTCACTTTTTATTAACTTATTGCAAATAAAATTAGCCATGAATTCCATGGAGTAAAAGTAAATGGTTTCTAGTAAGAAAATATTTCATTTGCATCTTGTTTATATTTTACATAAAAGCAAAATTACAAAATATGTGGAAAATGTTCGCCATGAAAGGTACCCATGATGTCATCATCACAAACAACTGTTCTTATTTTGTTTCTTTTCAAGTTTTGTTTGTGTACATATTTATAATAATAAAAGCATAACATGCTCATTAGACCAGACAGCCGAACGACCTTCCAGACAAAGCTGGGGCCACGAGGGCCAGGCCCCTTGCACGAATTTTGTGCATTGGGCCTCTAGTTACTACATAAATGCAGTCATACATACATCCTATTTTTAATCTGCCTTTTTCACTTAAAATGTTATGAGCATTTTCCATATTTCTGTGTAGTCTTAGAATTATTATGAGCCAGATACATTAAAGTACAAATATAAATTCCCAAACATACAAAATGAACTGATACTTAGGGAAATTGACTCTGTGCCAGTCCTCTTCTGAGTTACTTTATTTGAATAACGTAACTCTCCCAATACCTCTCTAAGGTATACTCTAGTCCAGCCGTGGGCAAACTACGGCCCGAGGGCCAGATCCGGCCCGTTCGGCAGTTCTATCCGGCCTGCGGAGCCAAAAGAGCGGAGGGTTCTCTTGCTCTCCCCTCCGCTCCTTCACCAGCAGCAGTGTTAACATGGCAATGTCGGGAAACACGGCCGCAGCTCCTTCTTCTGAGTCCAGTTTAAGAACCCATTGTGGCCCTCGAGTCAAAAAGTTTGCCCACCCCTGCTCTAGTCTCACATTTTATACACTGAGGCAAAGGGAGATGAAGCTCCTTTTCTGAAGACCGGTAGTCTGTTTCCAGAGTCCATGCTTTTATTTAGTAACAATGGAAAGATTAACTTTTTTTCTGAATAAATCTATTTAAAACAACTTGTAGCTATTGTAACATGGCCGTGCAAAATCTGCATTTCCTTCTCCTGCAAATCTCCCACCAAAACCCCAACCACAAATTACTTGGAAGGGCTGTCAAAAACAATGGTAATAAAAAAATTTTAAAAAAAGATGTGTTGCAGGAATTAGTGAAGACACTGCATCTGCAGAAAACAGTCTCAGAAACAGCTGGTGGACTTGTGGCTCTGCTAGCATGAAGAGTTGATGAATCCTCCCACTGGTCAAAGTGCACACTTACCAAAAACAGTCACTTCAGGGCTCTTGGAATTAGCCAGAGGAAGACAGAGCCTTGCTGAGGTCATTTAAGGAATGTCCAGTCCAGTGGGGAGACACCGTGTTAGTGGGTTGGGCTCATCTCTGTCCTTCTCTCTATAGAATCTTGGTCAGTAAAGTCTTGGCTGCCTTCTTACCTCCCCAATGCCTTTCTGCGGATGAGTATTGTAGGAAGTATTCCTATAGCATGAAAAAATGTAATCCAGTCTCTGATACTCTGTTATAGCAGCCTGAATGGACTGAGCTAGGAACCTATAAATACGAGACTTGGAAGACCCAGCAACCTCATTAAGCTATGTTTACTGTTGGTGTCATGACTTAATTTAACAAACTTAAGTTTTTTGATATTTGGGGATAACTTTTTGAACAGTTACTACCTATGTGATGATATCAAGAAATTTGTTAAATTTGTTAAAAATAATATTATGGTTATATTTAAAGAGAGCCTGTTTTCTAGAGCTTTCTATACACAGAAATGTATATAGATAAAATATGATGTCTGGTACTTGCTTCAAAATAATACAGGAGGATGGGTAAGAAAACAGGAGTACAGATGAATTAACACTGACATTGAGTGCGATTAATTGTTGAACATGGATGATGGGCTCACTTATACTATACATCCATTCTTATATGTGCTTATAATTGTTATACTTTTTTTAAAAAGAGGATGAATAGAAGCATCATACAGACCATCCAACTTCAGAGGGAAGGTGGGGGAGGGGTGAGATAGCAACCAAAGGACTCGTATGCATGCATATAAGCATAAACGGTGGACACAGACAGTGGGAGGCTGAGAGCATGTGCTGGGGGGAGGGGTGGGAACGACCAGGAAAGGTCAGTGGAGGGAAAAGGAGACATATATAATACTTTAAACAATAAAGAATTTTTAAAAAGAGGATGACAGACATTTTCAGACCAAAAAAAAAAAAGAGAGAGAGAGAGACGTTGTTTCTGGCAGAATTGGAGAGTTCTTCTGGCAAATGGAGAATGTTCACAAATGGAATCAATTCAATGTAGGGAGAAAGGGGGGAAAGCAAAGGCAGAGGGAGACTTCAGAGAGTAATTGATGTTTCCAAACCCGTGACCAGAGGGGTAATAGTGAGGGGTCAGTAAGACAAGCATTTTTGAGTGGAATATGGTGAATTTAAGATTGAACAAGAGGCATCTGAGTACCTTGAGTTCCTGGTCCTAAAAGTCACGTGTCTTGAAACGCCTTTCAGCTCACCGCTCTGTATGAGAACCTAAGTGTACGCAACCGGCAGCTGGAGGAAGAAGTAAAAGACCTCGCAGACAAGAAGGAATCAGTGGCGCATTGGGAAGCCCAAATCACAGAGATCATTCAGTGGTGAGCACCCTTCAGTGGCTTTGGGGGTGATGGTGGACATAGCTCACGTCGGCATGAATTCCGGGAGGTGACTTCACACGTTACCTTAGTTTTTGCTATGAAAAAATGTTACTCTAAAAGCATAGTTTTATTACTGATGTTATTACTGATTTGTGTTCTGCCGTGTTTTCCATTCCGTTCCCTAACTCCAACAGATACCCACGTCAGCTTTACACAGCATCATTGAAACACGGTGTTTCTTTCCAAGAAAAGAAACTGGGTTTTTTTCTCCTAAGACAGTTGGTCCTTAAAGGATAGAAGAAAGTCATTCACTAGCTATAGATGTTCCTTTCTAAGATCAAAATTGCTGTATTTATGGTTATTTAAGAAACAGAAAGCCTGGAGGAACACTCAGAGACTGAAGATGCACTAGCACCGTCCTCCGTATTATAACAGATTGGCTCACCATGGCATCTTACAAACCTATGTGGGTCCAGTTTAATTTTAGCAACTGCTCTTTAAGCTTTTTGGATTTCATGTGGAATAATTTACCTTAGTAACCTTCATATTAATTCACTCATTAAAATAATTATTCTAGTATTTGTATATATATATATTTTTTTTTAAATATATTTTATTGATTTTTCACAGAGAGGAAGGGAGAGAGATAGAGAGTTAGAAACATCGATGAGAGAGAAACATCGATCAGCTGCCTCCTGCACATCTCCCACTGGGGATATGCCCACAACCCAGGTACATGCCCTTGACCGGAATCGAACCTGGGACCTTTCAGTCCGCAGGCCGACGCTCTATCCACTGAGCCAAACCGGTTTCGGCTGTATATATTTTTAATACATGAGAAAAGTGGAAGCAAATGGGGACTTTATTTTCTAATAAAAATAGTTTAACTTTTTATATTTATTTTTTAGTTTTTTTACTTTTTGATAAATCATGGATATTTAATTTAACTCGTTTCTTCACATATTTATAGACCAATCATTCAGTAGAAATTTTAGTTTCTTGTGCTCTTATTTTGGTTCTTTAAGCATTTTTCCCCATTTTCCTTATACCAGGTTAATATCCTTAAAATCAAAAGTGAATAAACACTCTTTTAAGAAATCTTACCCAAATGACTCAAGTATCATGATATTGGCTTAACTGTGGATCTGTTATGTTAACTTATGTTGAGCTTAATAATGTGATTATTCAGTGACTATCTAAAGGAAAATGTCCCAGTTGTGGAAATCTGGTTGTGTTCCAAGCAATACAGTTAAATAGTTTATTAATGTTTAATTTATGTCCTAGTCATCAAGTCTGCATTTCTTTTATTTTTCTTTTTTTAAAAATTGTCATTATTTTTAATCCTCACCCGAGGATATTTTTCCATTGGTGTTTAGAGAGGGTGACAGAGGTAAAGACAGAGAGCAATATCAATGTGAGAGAAACACATCGATTGGTTGCCTCCTGCAGGCGCCCTGACCAGGGTTGGAAGGAACCTGCAACCCAGCCGAGATACGTGCCTTTGACCAGAATCGATCCCGGGACCCTTTGGTCCGCAGGCAGATGCTCTATCCACTGAGCCAAACTGGCTAGGGCAAGTCTACATTTCTGAAGCAAAATCATTTTAATCATTAGCCAAGCTTATATAAAAATATTACAACTATTTATTTGTAATTCCATTATTCTTTAATCAGATTTGTTATTAAGGTATTGCTGAAAATGCCTTCATAGAAGACAAAGCTGACCCGGCCAGAGCCTGAGCTCCTAGCCCACTGGTCTCCGGAGCCTGCGTGACGGGTGCGGGTGGGGTGGGCAGTGGGCCTGGGAAAGGAAGGCAGCCTCAGTGTAGACAGGATGAAAGTGAAAGTTTTTATGTAATCCCACAAATTGCTCATTTTACGTTTTTCCTATTCAAGTGAAATGTGCAAAAGAAATCAGGAATACAAAGAAGTCACTTTGCTTAAAAGCTGATATTTAAAAATGGTCGTGTATTAAAAAACAAATTATTAAATACTTAACAGGCTAAAAGAAAAAGATATACTCCTTGTCCTCAGAGTTCTCACCTACTTGAAAATCACTCTGATATACTCTACCCAAGGCTATGAAGGTCAGGAGTCTCAGCTATTTTCAGTGTGTAGCGTGGGATAGTCAAGATGAAGCAATGCAAACAGTTTCGGAAACTTGTAATATTCAGTAGTCCCCACTTATCTGCAATTTTGCTTTCCGTGATTTCACTTACCCGTAGTCAACCACAGCCTGAAAATATTAAAAGGAAAATTCCAGAAATAAACAATTCATAAGCTTTAAGAGGGGCACTATTCTGGTGTAATGAAGTCTTGCACTATCCCACTCCATCCCGTCTGGGACATGAATCATCCCCTGACTACTCGGGAGTCTGAATTCTAAGGGCGCTAAAATAAGGGTTAAGATTTAAATTCGTGTGCTGTACGCATCACAGGTACGTGTTAATTTCCCTGAAATATACTTTCCTCATAGCTGTTCAGTGGCCTGTATTTTCTCTTTGAAAACAACCACCCTGCACAAAGTAAATAGTGTGTTAGAATATACTGCTGAGCATTGCAAATGTCAACGTTTTTCTGTGTGGAATTATAGCTGTCTGTGTACAGATAATTTTCATTCCTGAGAACAGGACCTTTTGTAGATTTTCATACACTGGCACCCCTTGACCCTCTTCTTCCCTTGTTTGGGAGGAGATGTAACAAAAAGCAGACTTTCTCTTGACAAATTCTAGCATGTGGAATTTGTTTTATTTTCTCTTTTATTATTTTTTAATATTTTTACTTGTTTCAGAGAGGAAGGGAGAGGGGGAGAGAGAGAGAGAAACATCAATGATGTGAGAGAACAATTGATCGGCTGCCTCCTGCACACACCCTAGTGGGGATCGAGCCCCCAACCCAGACATGTGCCCTGGTTGGGAATCAAACCCTGACCTCCTGGTACATAGGCTGATGCTTGACCACTGAGCCACACTGGCTGGGGTGGGATATGTTTTATTAAATAAAATTTGAAAATATTTCTACCTAAAGTTATAATACTTGCATCAGCATAAATATAAACTGAGTTTTAGTAACCTTTAATCTTTTTTCGTTGGTTATTTTACTTACCATTTTAGAAAACAGAAGAACTTTATTACAATACAACTTTGATTTTTGCAGAATATGTTTTTTAATAAGTTTCTAAATACACATATTTCAATTATAAGAATGGTGTGTTATGTTTTTATATAGCATAAAATGGCAGAATCCAATTAATGAGAAATCTTAATATTTTTTGGAAATCATGAGAGGGGGTTAACGTTAGATTAAAAGAGTGTTACTTCTGTGGTTTATGGGTGAAGTTTTAGGGATTTATGAGGGAGGAGTAATTTGGACTTAACTAAACACGGCCAGCTTTCATTTGTCCAGTGGACATTTCCCCACTTGTCGACATGCAGTGGTGCTCTGGTAGAACTTTAGAAAGAAGGTATGTGAGGACATCTTTAAATTTCTGTCACTTTTCACTTATTTCTTTGTGATGCTTTAAAATAAGTTTTTCTTTCTGTTTAATGTTGTGCTTTATCTCTGTCTTTATATGCATTTTAGGGTCAGTGATGAGAAGGACGCACGAGGATACCTTCAGGCCTTAGCTTCGAAAATGACTGAGGAGTTGGAAGCATTAAGAAACTCCAGCTTGGGCACACGAGCAACAGTAAGCGGCCGTTCTGCACAGAGACTCGCCCGAACGCAGGCAGGGAGCTCAGAAACACTGATGAACCTGAGCGCTTTCACCAGTTTGTCTGGGCTTTAGCCGACTGTGAAGTTTTCCATGAGAAGTCAGTCAGTCCAGGTCTTTTCCAGTTTAGGAAATCTTAACACATAGCTGCTTAACTAAAGTTTGCATGGCTAGTTAGTATTGACAACAACTGTAAAAAAAAACTTACTTATTTTTGAGTCTACAGTTGTTTCTGAATTTAATGAAAAATATGTTTTCACAAGCAATGTGCTTATTCTGTTTTATTAGAGAAAGATAATACTTTTAAGTAGTTTCCAACTTCACTTGGATTACTAAATTTGAATGTAAAAAATAGAATAGAGCTAAAAACAGTCATATTATTTCATAGGATATGCCCTGGAAAATGCGTCGTTTTGCGAAACTGGATATGTCAGCTAGACTGGAGTTACAGTCAGCTCTGGACGCAGAAATAAGAGCCAAACAGGCCATCCAAGAAGAGCTAAATAAAGTTAAAGCATCTAACATCATAACAGAATGGTAAGACTGAATAATATGGTCCTACTGGAATAACTTCTACGTTGGACCAAAAGTATTTGGAGAGAAGTTACATGTTTAGTTTCCTATGACTTTTTCTTTAAAGTGATGACCCAGAAATGGTTATGAAGATTTGAAAATGACTAGATGCTCTCAAACCTTTTCTGCAGTGGTGGAATTTTAATACAGCCTTGTTTCCTCAGACTTGCCCGTAAAGTGGAATGGATAGTACCAATTAATATTCTCTTATTTACTCTTCCCCTGATTTGTAAAATTTAATTGACTTTCATATTTTATTCCATTAAATCCCCACTTCTCTCATGTTCAAGAACATCATATTAACATTAAAATGCAACATGTGGTCAGAACAAAATACAGTCATCTGAAAATTCTGGCCATAAATCTTTTACAAATGAAGGTTCTGTTGATGGTAAATTTTATAATGATATGATATATTTTAATTACTGTTCATGTTCTTTTATGGGTATAAAAACAAGTATATCCCCACAGTCTCTGGGAAAGTTAGCTATGAATACATTCCCTCAGTTCTTATCACAACAGTAGACCAATTTGTATTCTGAATAAATAAATGGTCAAGTGAAAATCATAATTGGACTGGATATAAACATGGTTTGAGAGCAAGTTAGTGTAGGTGACATAGAGGAACAATAGAAAGTTCTTAAAATGAAGATTTTAAAAAATTTCTTTTGGAGACTCCAAAGTGTTCAGTCATGAAAAGAAATATAGTCCCATAAATTCAGTTTTGAATGGTGTGAAGCCTTAGTCTTTAAACTGTAGTCATTAATGTTTTGAATAAACTCAGAGGCCAGATAAATGGCAGCCCAGTTGAATTATAAAGCCTTGATATAAATAATCTAGATATAAATTAAGAGTGTTTTACTTAAATGTGCTAGTGTGACTTGAAAATGGAAAAAAGAAAAAGCTTTTTCTGGAGAATATGAATTCGATCCCAGCATAAAGAGCTGTTAAATAAGAAGAGAAAAGGGCCTGGGGGAGCCTGTTTCAGTGTGAGGGAGAGGCGTGTCCTCCCCCCTCCTGGCCCTGCCTCCAGCTGAGGAAAGTGCATCTCTACCCAACCCAGGAGAGCGGGCAGCCCCGCCCCCCCGCCCCCCCCCCCCCCCCCCGCGCCCCTGCCCCCAATGCTGTAGGACGCAGATTCCATCGTGGTGGATTGGAAACAAAGAACTGATAGAACCTGCCTCATGACTCCGGAAGGTGAAGAACAGAACTTCTTTACCCCCATCAGTAGCAGACTGGGGCCCCGTTAGTGTGGACAGTGGGGCTGCAAAGAGAACCCATGTGCAGATGTCCAGCTGGCTACCAGTAGGGCTGATTGCACAGATCACTGTAACCCCCCAAGTCTCCACACCCCACACACACTTCCATCAAGAGAAAGAGTTCGGCATCTGGATTACATGTTGAATGTGGAAAGTGGGGTGGTACATAGTAGGAGCTTATTAGAGTTAGCTCTCTTTGCTATTAAAGAGAGAACATTAAAATCCATGAAAAGATCAGAACATATATAAATAGCCTTGTGCCAAGTCCTGCTAAAAGTTAAAAAACAACAACACACACACAGAAGTCCAAAAGTGGGTCCAGGTCACTGGCTGCTTCAAGGAGAAGAGAGCCAGGGAGGAAACCTACTGGTTGGCCCGAGCCTAGATCTAGGCTCAGAGACAAGGAAGTCAAGAGCCCTCGCAGCAGGGACTGGAACGAGAGACACATTGCAGGGTCCTCCACTTCCTTCCTTAGTGCCAGCTGTGGGAGGAAGGACATGCCAGTCAGTGCTCTGTACCCTGGCTTCCCCTCCCAGGATCACTATGCCATTTCCTCAACACACATTCTCTTTCATTGCCTGGAGTAAACTGTAAAGAAACCACTTTTTAAGTGAAGAGAATCCAAAAATATTCTTGGAAACCTTCAATATGTGGTCAGGGAGCTCTGACAGAAAATATGCGATGAACCCAGCACATTGCAGCACCAGTGTGCCACCTACAGACTGCACCCACTGGAAACAGTGTCACCCTGCCCCTTGGGAAGGTGCAGAGAGGATGGGAAAATCGAGCTGAACCTCAGGATTGTGCCTCCAGAATGTTGCCAAGGAGGACGAACGCCTGAAAACACAGATTAAGACCAAAGAAACAGCTCCCAAAGCTCAAAAAAGCCAAGCAGAGTAGGAAACATCCAGTAGCATCGTAGCAGTGTGGGCCCGTGTGGGAAGCTCTTCCTTCTTCCCTGGGAGATAATAGACAAGCCAGCCTCCAGGCTGAGGAAGGCGAGGGGAGGTGGCTGAGTTGGGCCAGCAGGACTGCATCCAAGAGACACACAGCCATTCATCAGGTGGGATTTATACTGGGCCTCGTAAAGATTCAAGCAGTTAAAGAAAACCACTGAGTGTCACTCTCTGCGTTGTAATCTGGAACAACTGAGTTTCTTCTTATGCCTGGGACATAGTAGTTTGTTCATAAACCAGGGCTATGAGTCAGGCTGAAAATTATAAACATATTTATGCTCTTTTCATGGTTCTCTATAAAAATTTATAACAAGGTGAGTTCTATTAAATTTATGACAAGGTGCCCTAACCGGTTTGGCTCAGTGGATAGAGCGTTGGCCTGTGGACTCAGGGGTCCCAGGTTCGATTCCGGTCAAAGGCATGTACCTTGGTTGCAGGCACATACCCAGTGGGGAGTGTGCAGGAGGCGGCTGATCGATGTTTCTCTCTCATCAATGTTTCTGACTCTCTATCCCTCTCCCTTCCTCTCTGTAAAAAATCAATAAAATATATTTTTAAAATAATAAAAAATAAATTTATGACAAGGTGAGTTCTATTAAATTCTAACAGAATTCAAAAATTAACTTTTTCTTTTATGACATTTTAAAGTTTAATATTTAACTCGGGTCAGCAACTTTTTCTAGAAAAGGCCGGAGGGTAAATATTTTGGGATCATATAGTCACTGTCTACTGTTTATGGCCAGGGACGCCATAAACAGTGTATAACCAAGGGAGTCCAGCTGTGTTCCCGTAAAACGTTACTTACGCAAGAGTAGATGACCGCTGGATTTGCTTCCTAGTGGTTTGCATTTCCCTAATATAGCATGACTGACAGCAGTCAAACCAAGTGAGTCCAACCAAGTAAATGAAGGCTCACTAACCAACAATGAAAATAATGACATTTTCCCTTTTTCCTCTTTTTAAGTAAACTAAAAGATTCAGAGAAGAAGAACTTGGAACTGCTATCAGAAATCGAACAGCTGATCAAGGACACCGAAGAGCTTAGATCTGAAAAGGGTATGGGAATGTTTTTGTATCAATCAGGACTTAATATTCTGCTATGAATGTATTTTTATTACACAAGGACCAGCTTATTGTGTAGGTGGAAGAATTGTTCACCCTAGCAGTCTGGCATCCCTATATGGCTCTTGGGATCCATTTATAGGTGTGTGTGCGTGTGTGTGTGAGTGTGAGTGAGATACACACATATTTGGTAGTTTGGTGTCTGAGTCTTTTTGTTTTACTTAATATACATTGTTTAGAGATTTGATTTTAATAGAACTCACCTTGTCATAAATTTAACTATTTTTTCAGTGCCTGCTTCACGAATAATATTTTTGTGATTGGAAAAAGGTATCTTATACTTTCTATTCTTCTCCCAGGGTAGTTGAAGAAAGAATGTATGAAATAACTAAAGCTTAATCTAATCCAGTATTAAAAGAGCAATTCAAAGATAAAAATTATTTTGGCATTTCAGTGTCTTCTTCCATATTTGACTCTTAAATTGCTTGCCCTGAGGAATTTCCCAGGATTTATTCCCATTTTCTTAAAACAGTAATTACTTACGCATTTTTTCCGTTAATGTGAAAAGCAACACAGTGTTTGGTAGCTATATTACATGAACTTCTTAAACTTTCTTTCCATAATATGGGCATTCAGAAGGTAAAAAATTAATAAAAAGAAATTCAGAATGTTTTTAATGACAGGGTCTCTTCTATGCAATAACGAGAAATTCGTTTTCCTGACAAAGTCAGTATTCCTGACCTAATCCCAACCCGGTTAGTGGGCTCTGTGTTATGTCGTGTGCTTCCCTGCACTTTGCAGCCCCGTGACACACACTGATGACAAATAGTTGGGTCTCTGCATCTGCTTAGAATTGTGGAAGAACAAGGTAATCACATTAAAGGAGTTAGCGTGGAAAGGCCATTAAAAGTAGTAGATGTGCAATCCATGTGGGTTCATAGGATGTCCTAGTGGACAAAGAAGGAAGGAACCCAGAAAAAGTGAATTAGAAACTCAGATTTGGAAGGCATCCTGCTGAATGAGAGTCAAGCAGGGCTGTATTCTTTAGAGAGGAAAGGAAAGAGAAGGCAGGACGGTATATTGTAACATAATGTACTATACTACTTAAACAATATAATGTAATATTTACATAATGAGGGCAAGGTTCTTTTTTTCTGCTTAATTTACTATTATATTCCCAGTGTCTAGGTGGACAGCACATAATAGGCTTTCAATAAAATTTATTGACAATGAATTCTGAACATACTGCCTTATCTGGGAACTATAGTATATTATTACAGAGTACAGTGGGGCCTTGACTTAGGAGTTTAATTCGTTCCGAGACCGAGCTAGTTAAGGAGCTCGTTAACTCAAATTACTCTGTCAACTCAAAGCAAAAAATCGCCGAGAGACAGCTGGTATCTCAAAAAACTCGCTAGTCGGGACACTCGTAAGTCAAGGCCCCACTGTAATCTGAAAAGCACACAAATTAATTAATGTCAATTCTTGAGAATATGGAAATAAAAATATGTACTTAATTTTTTCTCTCCTTAGTATTTATAAATTTATGTATATTTTAAAGCTTATTTTGGAAATTATGCATTTAAAGTTAATGCCATAGCCAAGAGATTTCATCATTCTGTCAACAAAACAATACCTGCAATCAGATTGACAAAAGTTTATTCCATAACTAAACACATTGGTTTCATCACTGCATTGTTTTCTTATAAAAGATTACTTGTTAGTGCATACTATATGTTTGCTAAGAATACTTCAAAACCGAAACCTTGTTTGGTGATAAATTATCTTAGAAAACTCAGACATAATCAGGGCTCTATATTGAAAAATCTCTCAAATCTATCAAAAAATGTAATGTGTTTTTATAATGTACTATACGGGAAAAGAAAGATATTGAAGAACTAAGTCAAGAAACAAGTGTTTCATGGAGAATGATATAATTTAACTGTTAACTGATATTCCAAGAAACAGTTAGTGTAATTTGGTTTTTTCAATATGTCGGGTTAATACATGCAGCTTTAAAGTACCGTCGTTTGCGAACAGCTTTTAATAGGCTCAGGCAGGAAAGGCTGTCCGTGAAAATCAGTTTATTCTAGTTTAAGGAGAGCTGCCGCTGTCTTCTAGGTGTAGAGCGCCGAGACTCACAGCGCTCTTTCTTGGCATTTTTGAATACGCCTACCGATGCTCTGGATCAATTTGACGTAAGTATTAAGCTTTTCAGATATTCTTTGGGTCAATTTAAAAATCGCTTTGTGATTTAAAATCTACTTGTAATAAACTAGTATTGCATCCCACAGAAGAGGACCTAGACTCTTAGATATTGTAAAGCATTCTTACGGAAACTGCAATCACTTTTATATTTAAGAAAACATGAAAGAAAGGTCTACATAGGAGGAGAGGCGTAAATGGAAAAGCAGTTTCATCTCTTCCCCTGAGGAGCAGTAAGTGCAGAACACATCCTGACTTTTGAAGTCATGTTGACTCTTCTCTTTTCGCCCAAGTATAGAGCTATAGTAAAAAGCAGTTGAAAATGTCCAAGCTCACAGTAGGACAGTGCTGGTTCCAGTTCCAAATTAATGCAGTTTTTAAAGAAAAAGTATGACATAGAGTGTATTAGGCAGATTCCATATTAACGAAACAGTGATTATATGGCTCTTTATCATTCTTTGGTACTTAATTTTTGCTTTAAAAGTCTTTATAAAGTATATTTTAGCCTCAGAAAATTCAAGTTGATGATTATATCTTTATTCAGTGAGTAATCCTACATCTCTGTGCAAGTCACCATTCTAGGTGCCCGGGACAGTGAGCAGAGAGAGTCCCACCCACCTCAGAGCTACATTCTGGTGGGAACTAGTAGAAGCAGAGAGTGCTTCTTTCTTTCAGTCGCTGCCTTTAACATGCTCACACGGAATTTGATTATCGCCTGGCCCAGGGCTTCATTTTGTTACATTTTGGGCACAGTAGATGAACTGTATTTCATTTCTTTGGGAAAGGGATAAAGAATCACTCTTTAAAAAGTAATTAATGAATTTCTAAGTTTCTTGGGAAACAATGACAGTGACTGCTTTTTTCATTTATTTATTTGAATTAATGTCATTTGCCTTTCAATTGTTTTACAAATTTTTTGATTTATTATTTGTTCTTACTAAATTGCTTCATCCATATTTTCTATTTTTTTTATTGCTGTATTCGTTAAATAGGATTCCTTTTCTTCTTCCTCATCTTCACTGATTGATTTTTTGGATGACGTAAGTCTGATTTTCAAACCAATGAATCCTTCAGTAAAAGAGATCAGTGAATTGATATGAAGAATTTGTCTAATGTAGTTAGTTTTAGAAATATTACACTGGATACTTTATTTGTGGGTCATAATTTGTTTCTTTTTTTATCTTAAATGTAATGAAGAGTTTATCACTATTAAACATAATTAAAATGTACTTTGAAAAATTCTTTGGCCATCAAAGAATCTGTATGTTTTCATTCTTTGCAACAGTTCTAAAAACTGGAATGCTTATTTAATTGTCGCAATATGTAGAGAACGATATATATAAATAACTGCTCATTTTTATTTTTCATGGTGATTTCTATTTCACATTCTCCATCTCTTTTCAGCACTTTATTTAATTTCCCTATTACTTAAAAGTAAACCTCTGGTGGTATAATCAGAAAAAGTGGCAAGTTTTATTAAATCTTTCTGTAGGTTTATAGTAGCATAGTAATTGAGTACAAATCCATTTTTAATGCTGACAGAATTTCTCTTCTAATGTAGAAAGGGATTTTAGTTCAGTAGGTTCTATATGCACTATAAATTGACCGCATTATCATTTTCTCTCCTAAATTCTATACATTTAATAATTTATCCTTCATTCTCTTTACAGAAATACCTGACATATATATTCTCTTTATTCAACATTAAAAGGCATAGTAATCCTTGTCATAAAGCATTTTATTATTCTGTTAAACATTCAGTCTTTCCAGAAACTAGGGAATAAAACTGGTTCAAATTCAAATGTTGTACATAGAACTATTTTATCAACCAGGGGAAATTCTTTCAATGTTTTATTTTTGCATTTTTTTAAATATAATTACTGTATTCAGAAGAATATTTCCACTAAAGGAAACCCTTGATCTAGATTTTTTAACTTATTTTTAAAGTGATTTTTTTATATCTTTGAAGTATTTATATCAAAGTATGCATCTTTGCACTCTAAATGGAGACTACCTGGTATTTTATTATTCTTAAACAGATAATTATTCTAATTCTACAGTATCAGAAAAAGAGAACTATTTTGATGTACAATAGTATTTCATGTTATAACCTGGTATACATTTTATTAGACGAAAATATTCAATATTTCCATAAAGATATCATCTATATATATATAAAAGGTGGCCTGACTGACCGACCGGCCGGTACATATGATGCGCACTAGCAAGTTAAAAATAAATGTTGACTCGCACATGCGCAATACATATAAAGCTCTTGCTGGCACCAATCGCACACATGTTTTAATTTTATAATACTATGTTACATATACTCTTTTGACATGTACTTTTTTGCAGTAATGTAATTACTGCATGAATCTTCTAATTAATTTCCTTTTAATGTGCACGGATTCGTGCACTGGGCTACTAGTTCATCTTAAAAGACTTGGAAATTTGAATAAATTATTTAATTTGTTCTTTCCACTAGGAAATCATTTTCATTTTTCTTTCTGACAAATTTCTCTACATCCCCTTGGCCCCACAAAAATCTTTGCATGTAAAACATAGGAGTCATGTTTTGGCAAATAGGGCAGCCCTTCTCAGCAGACGAGCCTGCAGCAATGCACACCTCACTGCACCTCGCCAGCCCCCATCTTGTCTCTGCTATCAATGCCGCCTCCACCGCCACCGCCCAGCTGTAGTCAGTTTCCTGCTTCCCTGTTCCCTCCAGGACGGCCCTTCTTATTCCTCACCTACTGTTGCTCAGCATAAACTCCGTTCAGACGTACAGCCAGCTTTTAAAGCAGTGCAGAGGAACTGTTACAGAGAAAAGGGAGTTGATTCGCAAAGCTGCTGAACTTTAAGTTCATGGTTCAGGCTCCAGCTCTGAGAAGGCATGGGTCTCCCCTCACTTGCTCCCTACGCGCTCTCCTCCCAGTTTACTGGCTGAGCGCATAAGTGGACTCGGAGTCTGCCTCTGCTGCTTTTTCTAGGTGTATGCTTTGGAGCAAGTTATCTAGCCTTTCTTTGCTCATTGGTTGTTTGAGAATGTTTTTTAAAATGTATGTAATGCCCTCAGTACTATTGGTTATTATTTCCTTATTCTTTTTTTTTTTTTTTTTTTTTTTTTTTTTTTCTTATTAGTTAAGGTATTACAAATGTGTCCTCATCCCCCCCATTAACCCCCAACCTCCCCCACACACACACTCATGCTCCCATTATTTCCTTATTCTTAATAGACTCCTTCCCCGCCCTTCCTGTGTTCTCTTTAGCTTCCTTTCTTGTCCATCAATTCAGTTTCTCTTCACCCCTCAGCCTTCTAGTCTCAGTCAATATGAGCCACTAAGTCTTCCTTCAGAATTTTCGAATCACGTTACCATGGGAAAGGGATTTTTACCTGCCAGGGCAAAGGCCATCAGTAAGCTATTTTTAAAAATACTGTGTATTTTTAATTTGTATTTTATGGCACAAACCTCTTGTTCCTCTTTATAGTTTATAACTATGACCAGCCTTTCCAGAATTATCATTCAGTCCGTCCTCAGAGTCATAGGAGAGTGGTGTTTGGAATAATGGTATTCAGTCTTTGGCGTGCTTGGGGTCAGCATCCAAGATATTTAGTATAACATTCAATTCTGTAGATTCCTTTCTCTTAGGCATTTGAATTTTTAAGGAATAAAACAAATCTTGATTGTTCTTTATGCCCAAACCGATTGAGTTGTTGTGTGTGATGCTAATAGTATGTGACTGCCCTCTGGAGAGGTTTCTTATCCTTGCAGTTTTCTCTAAAATCTTCTATAACTCCTGTCGACTCAGCTTATAAAGTCCTTCCTCTGGGCCCCATAAAACCTTGAACATCCCTCCTACGGCTCCCATACAGACTTTGTACGCATCTCTATTATCGCCTTTCTCACACTGCGATGGTTTGATGTCTCCGCCAGTCGGTGGCCTGCCATGCCTTTTTCTGTTAAGTACCGGAGCACATTCAAACCCTCACCATGGTAGGTTGAAGTGAAGATAGTAAATTGCCTGAGTAGAGGTGGTTCATGTTTGTGAAGCTCAATATTTCATTTTCAAAAACTTGGTAAGTGAATTGAGAGACTTGGAAGTATGGCCAGTGGTTGTATACCATTTCTGAGAAGTGGGACTGAGAACGCTTGAACCCTAGCTCCATCACATACCAGTTTTGTGGCCTGTGGCAAGTTCATCTCTTCCCTTTGTATTTAAAATGGGGGTCATATTACCTACTTTAAATTCTGTGCGAATTAAAAGAGTTCATATAGGTAAAGTACTTGGTAAAATATCTCTGTATATGATACACATGGTAAACGTTCGCTGTTACCATTATTACGGAAGAGAGGGGAGAGATTAGATATTAGCGTTGGGGTTTAGCTGTTTAATGTTTGCTTTGGGAGGGAGGGCGAGACAGGTTCATCCAGGAATAATAATGGAGGGGTAAAGCCAGGTTTGAATCTGGCACTTTAGACTTAAGACCGACTGGACTGCTAGACAAAACCCTGCGGGAGCCTGCAGGCCTCTGACTGGCTTGCTGCTGGCTCTTCGGGACACAGTGAGTGCCTCCTTCCAGTGTCCGGAGGAAGAAATAGCAGCTCCCGTGGGCCGACCTGCCAGCATCACTGACAGATGCCACTGATAACCTTGAAAACACGTTGACATGCTCATTACCTGCTGGTTCTTACTGTTCTTCCCAGACAGGAGGTTGGCCTCCCTGGGTGAGGGTTATTTCATGGTCACTGTTTGTGCAAGGTCCAGTGAAAACTTAATGTCACTCTCAGACCTCGTCCGAGCGGCCATTTCTTTACTGTTCTATCCTCCAGTTTTTCCTGGAAAGTACATTCCTTTCAACCTAACAAAAGTGTCTTTATATGTATGTTTATATACTGTGCGTGTTGAGACAGCGGCCGTTGTTGGGAGTCACGTGTGTAATATGTGTAACGTGTAGTCTTCTCCTTTCTTTGTTGAAGCGCTCTCCGTCCTGTACTCCAGCTAGCAAAGGCAGACGTGTAAGAGCTCCCGCGCGCGACGTGCATCGGTGCCCTCCCCTCCCCCTGCCTGTGGCTGCCCAGCGCTTAGCTCTGTGATGCACTTACCCTGGCTGCATGCTCTGTGCTGCTGCTCCTGCTTTTCTGTATTTTCTTTCTTTTGGCTTTGGCCGCAAAGCTTTAGGAATGTTCGTATAAATTTCTGTAACCAAACTACTAAAGTTATTAGGTACCTTTTTTTTATTGTTGGAAAAAATGGTTATAAAAGTCAACATGTAGCTTAACTTTCTTTTATTTAAAAAAAAAATTTTTACTGATTTCAGAGAGGAAGGGAGAGGAAGAGAGAGATAGAAGCATCAATGATGACAGGGAATCATTGATTGGCTGCCTCCTGCACACCCCCCACTGGGGATTGAGCCCACAACCTGGGCATGTGCCCCTGACTGGAATCGAACCTGGGACCCTTCAGTCTGCAGGCCGACGCTCTATGCACTAAGCCAAACCGGCCAGGGCTCTTTTATGTTTTTTTACAACATAGTTTGTAAATTCTCTAGAGTAGATATTCAAATCAGTATATTGAAAATAACTTGGGAAGTTTTCATAAAGAGAAACAAGTACATTATTTGTAACTAGTAAGATTATACTTACTAGTTATAACCTTCAGTAATTTATTATTTTAGAATGATAAAATATTATATGTACAGTTGTCCAAATGGTATAATTCATATCTCTATAATACTGTTTTTATCATAAGCTTAATAGAAATAATTATATCAGTAAAAGTTTGAGATTATAAACTGTTTCTGAATAAATAAATAAAAATAGATTACCTGCCACTTTGTTTCCAAAATACTTCTAGCTAAAGGATAAAGAAAATTGATAAAAATTTGATTTTTTCTAACTTAGAATTTTATATTTACCAATATGAAACAACATGTTAGATCTATGTCAGATCCATATCAGACTTTTACTTTAAAACCAGTTTTCTTGTAAGAATGGTTTGCTTTTTGTATTTGTTCAAATCTGTAATTAATTTTGGAGTA